TTTGCTGGTCTATATTCACCTGCCTTTGCTTGTGCTGGCCGATCGGCATCCCTGCACTGGTGTTTTCCACGATGGTGAGTGGTTTACCGTCTCCAGAAATACAAATTCCCATGGGCCCATGGGGTTCGAAACCCAAATGTATTAACCAGAGAGACACGTTTATGTAGCCCAGTGAGCTCCAGAGACACACTGTGATGGTTTGAATATAAATTCTGTAATCTGGTGTTTTCACACAAATGTCATCCCATTGAACACGCACATTTCACCTGTGTGTGGGGTCCAGCTGATAGCCCTGTGTTTTTTTTGTGCGAATATCTCTCTTTGATAGAAGTATTTTGTTACGTCTCCGCAGAACAATAATGTTAGTTTAGCCCACTCTATGTAATAAGAGCTCTTCTGAGATGCAATAGACAATTACATCATCCCAAACTTTAATAAAATGTCCTATCGTATTCAGAAATGGAAAATTGTATTCATGTTAAGAGCAAATGCAGCTCAATTTTGTGTGAAATATCCATTGCTTTAGTGTTGTGGAGCATACTTTAAATCTAGCAATTTGGAGAGGAATGGTAAATCATGGAGGATTGTTACTGACCATGCACAAAACACATAAAAGCAGGTGTAATTAAGTGCCTGAATAGATCATCACCACACAAGTATGTTGATGATATAGTCTTTATCAAGTGTTTGTGTTCTCCCACATGAATTGCTGTTTTTTATGGGCACTGGTAAAATACTCAGAAAGAATTGTCCAAACAACACAAGCAGGACCCTTGTAAAAAGGAGTCTCTAAACTAGGTTTTTTGAGTATACTATTAATACTCTTAGTTCTTTCGGTAAAGTCACGTAGGTAAAAATGAAATTAAAATTAATAAAAATAAAACAATAAAATCACGACGTTTCGGAGGCAACACAAGTCTCCGTCATCAGGTGGGACCGTCACAGCCAGATTTGCTGCATCAAGTGAGGCAAGGATTCAAGATGCAAGCCCTTAAATACAAGTTGAGGGGGGAGGAGAGGAGGGGGAGCTTATCAGAATGTGGTAGCCAATGAATGGAACGTATCGGGAGGGAGGGGGGCGGGGCTAAAAGAAGGCACTTGATGCAGCAAATCTGGCTGTGACGGTCCCACCTGATGACGGGAGACTTGTGTTGCCTCCGAAACGTCGTGATTTTATTGTTTTATTTTTATTAATTTTTATTTCATTTTTTACCTACGTGACTTTACCGAAAGAACTAAGAGTATGAATCCTTGCAGTCACGAAAGCTTCAAATCTAGAATGAGACTATTAATGTATTCTATATCATTATGTGAGAGGATAAAAAAATACCTTGTGCACCCTAATGGATCTCTTTATTTCTTGTAGGTGCAAGACAAATGGACGAGAGGTGATGCGCATGGAGCACTGGAAAGTTCGATCATCGCCAGGAACCTCAATATCGCCGGAACCACATTGGGCCTCATATGGATTGTGGCTGTGTGCATCGCAGTCCCTCTTTCTTATTCAAATAGTTATTACTATTATTATGGGTAGGCATGTTATATCTAAGATGCCTATTTTTTGCTGATTCTTGACATAGTATTGCCTTTTGATATTAGATTAATTTCAAACTCGTGGTAAAAGTAACCTCTGTGATCAGAAGTTAAACTCTATAAAGTACCAGGAAGTGAATTACAATGATGAAGGATGACACTTCAGACTCGTTGAATGCTTGCTAAGGCAGATAAGTTCTAATATATTTAATTCAACTGCCTGAAAATGTTTTCTTAACATCCTCATGTACTTCTTGGAGTTTACCTTAATGTTTCAGTTATTTTCTTGATACTTTGAGCATCATATGGCTATGAAAACAAATTTCAAGTGTATTCCTTGGGTCTTATTTGTAAACAATGCTCATCGCCTATAGTATACTCAGGCTCCACATGCTACCACTATCGGTTTTTATGCCACAAGCCAGCTCAGTTCTGCACATGAACTGATCTCATTGTTCCACCTCCACAATGGTCGTAATCTTTAGGACATTCCCTTATTTGGCTGCAATTCGATCACCAGCCTCGTTCACACCAACGACCAACTTTTTTGGCGATATGTTCTGGCTAAGTCTAATTTTGTTTTACTCATTCACATTAAGTGGAACTCTTCGTAGATTTTGTGAAGTTATTCAATAATTTTGGTAATCCATTTTATTTACTCTTTTGTCAGCAAATTTGAGTTCACTAATACTTTATCTATATGTTTATTCATTTATTGCTGTAATATTGGAATTTGGAAAATATATTGTAATTTTGCTTTGGTGAAAATGTAACTTGTTGCCTGAGAGAATTTGGTTGACTTAAAATTCCTTTGAATAAAATATATTTTTTATTAGTTAAATCTAGACTATTAGATAATCGTTTCTCTTTTTAAGGTCTTATTGATAACATGTATGTGATAAGTGATATAAAATCCATTCCAAAACCAGCTTGCTCACTAAGTTAAACATTTTATGTTGTTTTTCTAGAGTATTAAAGTAAATATGGAACGATACTCACAATAATGGGATGTTTATGGTGTAATAAAACTTGACGTTAGTCACTGTCATCGTGATATAAAATGTTATATCGTGGTGACAAATTTGGTGGTGTGTTCAATAATTAATTGTATGGTGCACGCATTGTGTAACATTCATGGTTGTAAGCACACTGAACCATCCGTTATGTACCTAAACTGGGAGCTAGTATTGTGCACTAACCACTGCATAATCTGTGTTGTGAAACCGCCGAACGGAGTTTTATTCCCTCTCACAGCCAACGTCAGTTACGAATTACCAAATGTTGGTCGACTCAGCGTTAAATGATTACCTGTTTCGTTCAGTGTGTAAATATAACCTGTGCTTACCTCTGTCTCGTTCATCGGCAATGAGGAGGCTGGCTACATCGCCCCCTTGTGAGCCGTGCCACCCATACATTGGTGCTATCTAACAGCACTTGCACCTCCGATTAGCACGGTTGGCGACGTAATGTGTTGTATGTGTAGTGGGTATAAATTGACGGAGAACTTCTGGTGAGGCAACACGATATTTATTTCGCTTTTCTACAAGGTCCCTAACACAAAGGGGTATAGCGACCACCTTTACCCGATACCTGGGGAGGTATGGCCTCCAGACTATACGGGCCCTTATCACTGGCAACCCCGTTAACCTTCTGTCCTCCGGCTGGGGCCCTAGGGGAGGCTATGCCGTCCCGACCGTACCGGGTCCTCGGGTCCTGACCACTGGCCTCACTGAGCTCTGGCCCTTAGAAGGACAACGGAGCTTGGGGTCCAGGGCCCTATCTTCCAGGGACCTATCCTTCCCTGACCACTGGCCTCACTCAGCTCCGGCCCTTAGATGGACAACAGAGCTTGGGGTCCAGCGTCCTAGCTTCAGCCAGATCTTCGGTCTTCAGCTCGGAGATGATTGAGCCAGACCCTTGAGAGGTTCGGCTTATATACTGGTTCGTGGTGTCCTCCGTCCTAGCCACGCCTCCCTTCCAGAACTTTCTGGAAGGTGGCATCATCCCCCGGTCCCCCCTCCCGGGGTCCCGGGGATTGTGTCCCAAGATCCGTTTCCTCGGGATTGTCCTTGGCCCCTTTTGGGCCATGGCCATGAGCCCTGGCGTGATAGCGCTTCTGCCCCCTATTGGCGAGAAGGGGGAGCTACCTGCCCACAGAGTGGTGAGTGCCGATTACCCCTCCATATTTATATGCGTACATACAACAGCCTGTGTGGACTACACGGAGAATCACTTTATAAGTCGTCTGTATTAATGTCTGGCATAGACCATAAGCCCAGCGACGTAACTCAACTCTTGACAATGCACAAGTAGCTAATTGACACATCAAACCTGAACTTGAAACACAACCATGTGTAAAAGGCACAGTCTCTGTGCATATGCAAAACAAACTTATCAGCATTTCCTGAAGACGTGTACACTTGACGGTCGATTAAGCCTAAATTCGTCACTGTTACGGTATGTTCAAAATCAGCACCGAGGAGAAAAAGACGAGCAGGTATGGTTCTTGTTAGCCTCAGGAGGTGCTAGCAAACCACACGTGTCACTATTATTGTGCATAAGAGGCAAGTCTGTCCACAAGACAATCGGAATAAGTAAACCCGTAAAAACAAAGTTTTTCACTCTAAATCCTTTATATGCGTGGCGGCTTGAGTCCTCTCGTCCTCTGGCTTGAGATGGCTGCCACCTATGGGTCAGATGATTGTCTGCAGAATTAAACAATTGGTAATTAAATATAATATTTTTGTCCTATAAAGTGTACATTTTTGGAAAAAATTTTCACGAACATTAATTGTCACGCACAACGAGTCTGTGTGGAAAATGTCAACTCGATTGGATCATGGGAAGTGGGTTAAAAAACGACCGAAAGATTTACACGGTCGTAAGCAAGCACGCACGCAAGCGAACTTAATATAAAGGATTTAATAAAGACGCGCCGTGAATAAAATGACTACAGCTGACGTTACTCAATAAATGAATGACAACAGCTGACGTTACTCAATGAATCAATGAAGATTCGCTGCCGTGTTGCTGTGGGAACTAATTCACTCCCCCCCCCTCCTCCCCTTCTCGGTTAATAGCGAAGCCATTGGCGCCTTAATGTCGGTCGACGTAAACATCTAATAGGATTTTTTTAACGTAATGTTTACACAACTCAGTGTCATTAATTTATTCCAAGTAAACTCTGGACCTTTTTATTTTTGCCACGGGACTTGCTCCGTCCCACAGTGAGGCGCCATCCCCTGAGCAACATGGCGGAAGGAAGTGACGTTGCCCCCACGCGATTAATACAAAAAGGTTTATATATATTTTTTAAATATAGTTCATCGCAATACAGTTTCATTGCGAACGTCTAAAATTCGAATGATAACGTGAGATACGAATAAATGTTGTGATTTACAAAACTTATCGCTTCGTAATGTCAACACGGGCGGATGTGACGTCACGATCGCTGCCTGGAATTATTTCCCGCCTTTTTTTCGTAAACAGAAACAACGCAGACGCGGGCGACAGTCAAGTTGTGTGTGTCCGTGTCGATGTATGTCTGTCCCTCTGTCTTTCTGTATATCACCACATACCCTTGTGTCTGGTTAGCTTAGTCTGTGCCTCTCAATCTTTGTGTGGTGCTTTCTCGTGGTGTGCTTGTGTCTCGCTTTGTCTCTGTATATGCCCCCCTGTCTGTCACTGTCACTCTCTTTGACTGCGCGTCTGTCATTCTGCGTCTGTCACCCATTCAACCTGTATCTATGTTTCTGCGTCTCTCCCTGTGTATCTCACTCCTTCCATTCGACAATATCACTGTCTTGTCAGTCCCAATGTATCGGCCTATCTCTCTCCTCTTCTCCAAGCCTACGGCTGCATTCGAATTCTAGATTGTTTTGTTTTAATCACAAGAATATAATATAATACGCGTTTCCCCCACTCAGATAAGCTGGCCGGAAACAATGTCGGAAATTCCTAATTCATATTGCGGGAGCCGGTTGATACAAAGGAGACAGCCACTGTTGTCTTTACACAAAGTGGTTGCTGTATTCGAGATATATATTGACTTCGGGATGACGATGGTGGTTATAGTGTTGGATTGCATTCGCCTTAGACGCTGGGAGGGGATGTATCAACGGGGTGCAGTTTGTACGTAAAGGGAAAACGTGCGTGAAGTTATAATTCTGCCCTGTTGGTTATTCTGTGCATTATCTTCCCATTTGATTACTCCTGAGATCAACACAGCGCGTCCAAGTCGATGTTCAATTAAAGCCACTTCGTTGGAAGTGATTGAGCCCATAATTTTTCCTGTGCGGTTGATCAAATGTGTTTTTTTGCTCTTTAGAAAACATTTTTCATGAATCATTGTCCATGTGTTTCAGGCTAAGAGTTGGAAGGCAGGTTCACAATGGCATCACAAGAATTCACTGTGAGTGTACTGTCATGTCAAGTTGCCATCTACTGTGTAGTACGCGATGTCTTATGTATTGTATCATGCAAGGCCGTAGCCATGGAGTCAACATTGGGGGGGACCAAATCTTCCAGGGGGTCTGGGGGTCCCCGCCCCAGAAAAAAATATCTAAATTTGAAAAGAATTTCCTGCCTAAAATATTAAGAAATTCACTAACACATAGGATGGACTTTATTTATTTGTTACAATGTCTAATAGTGTATTGTATTGCATTGCTCTTTTTCTTTTTTTACCTTTTCTTGTTTCATTAAATGTAATGGCAGTGATTAGGGATTAATAATATACAACCATAACCACAATCATATAAACAGAAATCTATTTTATAGCAATACTGTATATCACGAGTGTCACGAGCTTATCAGTTATCTCTTTAGCGTTCCTTCACTCTCCAAGACCGCCTCCGTCACTGCCATCCTCAAAAGGGGCCCCTCTCACCCCGCTCATATTTGCCAAATTTCCAATCTCCTTCCTCTTCAAGGTGTTTGAGGTAATCTTTTCTCATTTCCACCTTACCCTCCACGACTTCCATCATCCTTTGCATTCAGGCGTTCGTACTGTACACTACTGAAACTTCTCTTATTATCTTTCCCCGTTATCTACCTCACTCACCCTTGCGGTAAGAATCATCCCTCCCTCCCTTCCCTGCATTCTCCCCCACTCCCCTCAAATACCCCTCTCCCTTCACTGCTATCCCTCCTCTACTCACCCCTTCATTGTAGCACTTTAGGTTTAATATTTTACCTCATTCCTTATGAGCTATTTTAACCCATTATTAAATAATACATGTAATAAATACTCAATTTTATCGCATGTAAACAGCTTTGAGATGCCCTGACGTGAAGGGAGCTCTTTAAAAACTAATAATGTAATTGTTTGCTTGTGTTGTGCCTATGCCACAGGTGCTCTACACTCATCAGAAGACCAAGAAAGCTAAGGCTTGGCAGGATGGCATCCTGAGAACCCATGGCAATGGCGGCAAGGTCACAGCCCCTCTACTCCTCTCCAAACTCCCCGAGCACCCCTTCTCAACACAGCCTGCAGCTCTTAAGTTGTTTGTGTGTCCGAGTGTGTCAGTCTACCATTGTGTGTGGATGTCAGTGTGTGTGACCTGCAGTGTGTGGGGAACGGTGATGTGTTGCTATGTGCGCTGTGCTACGAACCCGGCGACCCGAGACTGATTCTCGCTTACAGACAATACTAGTGATGGCTACCTGAACTGGTCCTGGGCCTCCCCTAGGTCGACTCATCCTCAAATGAGTACCTGGTACGGTGTGCTGGCCACATCATTCCCTCGTGTGCCATGCTGGCCTTCATAACAGCACTTGCCCCAACAGTCTGCTAAGGCTATATGGCAGATCTTTCACTTTGACCTACACTGTGGTGATTGAATACAGTATGGATGAGATGAAGCAGTATGGAAGACCAAGTCCTACACATGACGTTCACAGGAACAGTTGTGATATAAGAGTGATGAACCAGCAACTGATCACTGGCGAGCAAGTGACTGGAGGGAATCATGTATTTGTTAGTGTATGTATGTGTTATGCAATAGAACCACGTGGAGACGAATACTATACGGGCTATACTCTTTGGTTCTTTCGGTAAAGTCACGTAGGTATAAAATAAATTACGTGACTTTGCCGAAAGAACCAAAGAGTATGGATTCCTGCAGTCACGGAAGCTTCAAATCACTATAAGGGCTGTTGCCGTTTATTAAATCACTGTCACACTCGACATGCTACGCTCACACCAGTGTAGGTGCACTCTATCTCGGTCCTTTACCCCGGACACTGAATACTATTTGGGTCCTACTCTCGGCTATCCCCTTGGCTCTTCCATTCGTCTGCCTGGAGCGGGGGTTCAGCCAACACCTCTCAGCGACCAGGAAGGGAGAGACCCCCTGCAACCCATCCTTACCCTGGCTCCCCACGACGACCATGCCTTCGTCACGGGGTCCCCCTTAAGAACCCCTTGGGCGGCTCCTCCCCTCAGCTCGGATCCGCCTTTGTTCCCGAAGGTGCCCCTTACACCACCCGTGACGTTACGTCATCCTTGACTGTCAACCCGCTTGCGCCTTCTTCTCTACGCCCCCTCATTGGTTACTCACAATACTCCTCTACATATGTAAGGTATGTTTATTTATGTTACGTTTTGTATATTTATATATACTGTTTGTGTGTGTATATTTGTGTACTACAGGCGATTCTGTTAGATGACAAAGGTTTGCGTCTGGACTCGGTCTTCCTGAAGGGTCAGAAAGTAAGTGCATGTCTGAAATTTACAAAGTTATTATGATTGTAATTTGAGTCATGGAGGTGGGGGCAGGAGGGTGGGATTGCTGTTTTTACTCAAACCAACTGCCCCTTATTCTATACTTGCCAATTAACTATGTCATTTAAGTTATTTATAACATTTAAATGGTTATATACTTGTATATAAAAAAAAAAAACATTGTGTATGTGTTGTACCCCCTCCGCATGTTTTCCCATTACCTTTCCGTGAAATGTTTTATTCCCACACCTCGCTCGTGAATTTCACGAATAATTTACCGTAACAAAATTGTTACCTGAATCATGATTATGTGATCAGTGATGATTTTACAAATGATGTTGCTACTGATGATAGGCTAAATCTTGACTTAAAGCTTTCGGGACTACAGGAATTCATATTCTTTGGGTCTTTCGGTAAAGTCACGTAGATAGGTTGAAAGAAAATAACAAAAAAGAACAAAAATATGTGATCACACAACTCCCACCACCATCCTTCCCAGAAGAATTCGCTCATTAAAAAAAACTACACCATAGAGCTCGATGTATTTCCGACCATCATCACCTAGCCAGTGAACTGAAACATGTACACCAAGCTCTCAAGATGAATGGATATTCAGACTACACAATCCTTAAAGCTATCACCCCAACCGTTGGGAAAGAGCCATCTGAGGACCCAATCAAAACCATCACCTTGCCATACATAGCAGGGGTCACCAAAAATATCTCCAAAACCACGAGCAAACACAAGATCCAGGTTCGATTAACACAGTACATAAAATTCGTGATCTGATCCCATCTGTAAAAGATGTGATCACTGACATGCAATACCCCAGCGTCTACAAACTAAGCTGTGTCTGCGGCAGTAGTTGCATTGGGGAAACTAAGCTACATGTCTCAGACCGTGTTTATGAACATAAGGCAGATCTGCAACAAGGTAGGACCAATACCTCGGCCGTGGCTGATCATTGTTTTAATGTGGTGGGGTCATACGAAATATATCTCTCTAAGACGAAGGTACTTTGCAAACCCACTGGCTATCAACAAAGATTAGTTCATGAAGCCATCCACATATACAGACACAACTTCAATCGAGAAGATGGGTATAAGCTGAGCAATCATTGGAAGGACGTTATCAACCAGTTTGTCATAACTGGCTGTGATGTTCCCATCCTACCACCTGATGTTAGTTGTTGTTTTCGGCTCTCTGATTTTACATTAACAGCTCAAATTTGTCACACTAACAGCCACCTCGCTCGCCGAGCTTGACGTTGCTGCTCTGCAATCTTCCATCAACATGCTAATCTCTCACATTAACATAGCCACCTCCATGTCCTCGTCGTGGAGGCCGCTCTCTGATCTTACATTAACATGCTAATTTCTCACATTAACATCACTAGCCCCGCCCACTTCATTTATGACCCTTGGGCTACACCCGTTTAAAACCTTTAAAACGGTCTGCCTCAGCAGCTTTTCCTCTCCTTTTTCCTCCTGATGACGATCACTTGTGTTGTGATCAAAACGTCAGAGTTTTTTTTTGTAATTTTTAAAATTGTCTTTGTTCGTTTCAGGTCACCGTTGGTTTGGAGTTGGAAAGTGACCGCTTCCTCATAACAGTCGAGGAGTCGGCCAATCCTACAAATTTGTTAGTCAGTGCCACCCCTAAACCTACCAATCCAGAGCCGCCCAGACGTCCATGCCTTCCCAGCTTCAAGCGGAAACACACAACCGTAGGTTTTGTTGCAATCACAGTATGGTAAAATGCAGATTTATACAGCGTTTGGTATTGTATTGTCGAATATTGTTTCATCAGGCCATGTGGTGTTAACAGTTTTTCTGTGTGGCAGGGTAGCTTCCGGACTCCCCGCGAGGTGGAGGTGAAGGCAGAGAAGTCTTCAGCGCCGGCACTTGGGTTGTCCCTCCCAGGAAATGGAGACACCAAGGCCTCCTCGCTGCAGCAGGGACACAGTGCCGTCTGTCATCCAGACTACACCACACCCACGGAGAGTGGGCCTGGGAACACGGCGTTCCCAGCTCTGTGGGGCTCTCTGCCAGGCAGGGAAAGCACGACAGGAAAGATGCCCCCTCGTGCGACTGTACCATCAAATGAGGAGTACAGAGGGATTCCCAACAACATCAGTGGGAGGAGAGATGGTGTAATTGTGAGGGCGGTTCAGCCAGCGGATCTGGGCAGTGCCAAGGAGGGCATTGGAGTTCTATATGAGGACAGGATGGACAGGGATGCTGATCCTGACAGAAAAACATCTGAGTGCATTTTTGTGGTTGATTCAAATGGCCGTAGCACTGATGCAAAACGCACCAAAGCTCAAATTCTGGCACTGCTGATGCAAAGTGATGGTGGTGGTGGGGCTGGTGCTGGTCAATTGAACAATTCCCCATCTTCCCAGGAGAAACACGCTTTTTGGGATCAGCAGTTTGATCAGAATGGCTCAAAAATTGGGCATACCAATCGAAGCTCTTCTCAGGATAAAGAACAGCCCATCTTAAGCAATAAACAAGATTGTTTGGGCAAACTGCATTGCGAGAACGTTGAAAATGTGCAGCCTCACAGGGGTGAAGAGCCTTCCCTGATTGGCCAACAGCCTTCAGAAGACAAACTATGGCCTCACATGGGGATGGACTCTTGCAAACAGCATTCCCAGGCCATGCCACAGCCATACCAGCAACAGCAGCATTCTGATCAGTATAAACACTCTGACTGGAGCAATGCAGAGCCGTCGCAGGGCAGCGTACAACTTAACCCAGCTGAAGAGCCTTGTCTTGAAAAACTCAATCTGTACAAAGATAAGGAGACATACCAGAACAAAGTACAGCCCTTGAAAAGCAAAGTACAATCCCACGAAAGCCTACAGCCTAACCCAGACACACAGTCTGAATATTATGAACTACAGTCCTGTTTGGATGATGAGCTTCACACCATTGCGCAGTCATCCTCAGAGAGACAGCCACCTTTTTTGGACAAAATACAGCCTTATCCAGACATGCAGCCAGCGGTAGACAAACAGTTCCTCTGTGCTGAACTAAAGCTTCACCAGAACAAACAGCATTCCCCAGAAGAACAACATCCTACCTCCAAAATACAACCCAAAATAGACACACAACCTTATCAGGGTAAATTACAGTCCAATGTAGACCCACAGCTTCAGCAGGACACATTGCAGCCATTTCCAGTCTCAGTGGCATTGCAGAATACACTAGAGCCTCATCAGCAAACACAACAACAAAAGCCAACTCATCTAGATCCACAGTCTTCCCAGGACTCGGACTTGGTGCACAGGACGGTCCCAGCTGATGGCATAGTTTTTAGGAACGAGACTACAATACAAGACTCCCAGCCAATGGTGGACTTTGACGTGTTCTCCGCATTGGCAAGTGAGCTGGGGGCAGGCGACAGCCAGCCTGGCACATTCTCCGAAGACGCAAGTGTACAGTCAGCCCAGCCACTACCTGAGCAGCACCGTGCTGCTCAGTGGCCTGCAACACACAGTCCAGTCTCTGTAACTGAGTGTGTGGCTTCAGATGAGAGCTCTGCTGCTGCCAATGGGATTAGCACCCATGCAGTGCTCACTGACTTGTCTGGCCTTCTGAGTACGACCATGGAACCCTGCAATATTGAAGATGAGATGAAGTCTGCACACTACGTGCCGAGCAAGGGGCGCAGTGTGTGTGGTATAGGTGGAAGTGATGGTGGCGAAGATGACGGGATTGGTAGCAAGGGGGTCGATTATGTTTGCAACATGAAGGCTAGTAACTCCGATAGCATAATTTACAAAGACTGCTTTATCGACACAGCACCCATGAGTCCTATTGAGGTTTCCCAGAGGGGATGCAAGCCCATTGCTCTCCTACAGGCGACGGAAACCTATGCAAGCCAGAGCCAGACCTCTGTGGACACCATGGACATCTCACTAAGCTTGGAGGAGCAGGATGAACAAGTGGAGGAGGCGACGGAGGTGATGCATGGGGTTTGCATTCAAAGAGAGCGCCTTCCACGGTGGAGTTCTCCAAACTTCTCTGTGGCGGAGCCAGGGGCTGTGGGGCATAGCGGCTGTGTTGGGCAACAGGCGCACAGCTCACAGGGCAGTGTAACCACGTGGAGTGGTCGAGAATCCTGCCTGGATGTTGATAGGAGTAGACAATGGGAGCACGGAATTGAGAGTCCAGGCCGGGGCCTTGTAGCACAGAGTTCAGAGCGGCATGGTGCAGGGAAGAGTGGTTTTGGTGAGGAGAGAGAGGACAGTCAGGAAGGTGTCTTGGGGGAAACCTTGGCCGGGTTTGACAGTTGCGTTGTGGAATGCAGCCGATCAGGGAGGTGTGCTCCATTGGAACGCGATGCTCTAGGCTGGAAAATCGTCGAACGGAGCCCTGTGAGTGTTAGTGACATAGAGGACAAGTTTGAGGGAGGTGAGATTGAGCGCTCGAGGGGCAACATCCATCGTGAAAGTAGAGGAGAGGGTGGCATTAACCACTCTGTGTTCACGGGAGGAAGCAACCATGATGAGACGTTTAGAGACATTTGTTTTCCACACCCACCGGTAGTCAAAGGCAGGACTACACGTCAGCCTTGCTTGGAAGAAGAAACAATACACGAGTCGTATAATGTGCAGGGAGGTGCTCATAGTGAATCGTTTGTAGAGTGTGGCATTGTCGAGAAAGTGCTCACAGCAGGCAGCTGTTATTCTCTTCAGGAAGGAGTAATTCTGCAGGAAACATATAAAGATGTCAGCCTTTCACAGTCGACTGCTATGGAAAGAAGCATATGTGATCAAACATTTAAAGAAGAAAACGTGTCGTCAGTGATTCAGCATCAGACTCAGGCACAGTGCAATGCTTCACACGCAAGCTTTAAACAAGGAAACTTCTCATGTTCAACATTTGTAGGAGATAGCATTTCACATTCAGTGTTTATAGAAGGTGGCAATCTAAGCCAAACAAATACCAGAACTGGCACTCAGCATTTGCAGTATATTCAAGACAGTATTCCCTATCGAACAGTCACCGCAGGCAGCAGGCAGCCATGGACATTTAATGCAAGCAGTTGCCAGCATCTATTTATTAAAGGCAGCAATCATAACCCAGATTTTGGACGTTATGATCGTCGGAAGTTCGTGGAAGGCACTTGTGTGCACCCATTGTCTACTCAAGACAGCGGTCAGCATGAGGTGTTCACCAGCCATAATGCTGAAGACCTGGCGTGTATAGACATCAAGAGAGCAGGAGGAAAGGTCGAGGAGGAAAGGAAGGAGAGGGAAGAAGTGGAGAAAGCGGAGTAGAGGAAGGAGGTGGAAGAGTAGAGGGAGGAGGCAGAGGTAGAGGAGGAGGGCGAGTCCATGAAGGTAGTACAGTCAAGCAGAAGCAAGATCGAGACTGCTGGGAGAAGGCAGCACAAGGAGGCAGGATATCTCAACCCCCCCCTGCCACCAATGCTTTTGTGAGTGCTCGGGGCTGGGGACAGCCACATGGTAGCCAGGACAAGGTACAGCTACAAAGGGCTCCAGTGCCTCAACCTCAATTCATGTTCAGGGCTGCTGACTTGATTGAACAGAGTGCTATCTGTATCCTGGTTGAATTCTCTGTGCTCCTTGTTACAACTAAAGGCAGAAAATGTCGCTGCCGTTGACTGTAAATATAATGGTCATCTTTAATACTTACATATTTGTACAAATGTCTGAGGCTAATAGAATCGCACTATGTCACTTTTCAGATTGTCATGGTTCAGTGTTAATTTCAAAATCTTACAGAGCCAGACTCCAGTAACTTTAGGAAAAAGACTTTAGGATTCGTAGGACTTAGTGTTTGGTTTGGGTTTGTGTCTTGTTGACTCATATTTTTATACTTAGAGGTCGAGTGAGGCCAGTTTGCTACGCCTTCTAAGAAAGCACCTTGCGTACCAATAATGACCCTTTCACTTCCCACTTGTGTTCGATGTAACTCACCCTTAGAGTAACCATTATCTACTCACCCACACCCTTTCTAAAAAGTTATGCATTATCACAATAATTCAGGGTCCTGATTACATTTAAAAATGGATTCCTGTAGGGACTCTATAGGGACTGGTTAGACAATGTTGGTTTGATGGACACGACATTATGTTAGAATCAAACTGAGTCTCTCTCCCCGTGTCCCTCCCACTGCTCTTCGGGCTGCTGTGCCAGGTTTCCTCACTGCAGCACTTCCAGCCACAGCACGTGGTGACCAGCCAGGATGTGTTCCGTGACCCTGAGGGGCTCACACCGATGCACGTATTTGAGCATTTCACTCATCCCGAGTGTTTGTCTCCGAAAAAGAAGGCAGATCCTGCTCAATGCTTTATGGCTCAGAGGCAGCAGCAGGACATACTTGCAAGTGGCTCATCGGATTTTGAAATGTCACTGGATTTTGAAGCTTCCACATTACTACCTACACCATGCCCACCAATTGGGACACAATCCTCCCATGGGCCCTCTTACAAACCCAGCTCGATTCAGATCCGTGGCTCGGGGTTAAATTCGGGGAGCAGGGAGTCCCCTGAGACTGGGACTTGGCAGCCTACACCCCATGCGATAGACAGGAGTTTGGAAGGGCAAGAGGTTGTGGGTGGATCGGGCAGGAGGCAGCACCCAGGAGAGGGGGCAACAACACGGAGGCAACGGGGACAGGAGGAACCTGCGGGAAAAAGTGGCAGCAGCAGATGGGACAAGTATCACGACTCCTCCCTGGAGCATCTCATCGGAGCAGGGTGTGTATGTCCTTGTTGAATATCATCTACCTTTGGCATTCTTATATTCATTTTGGTCTTCTCCCAAACAATCTCCGCTCGATTGCCTACTTCAGCAAGCCATTCTCTCTACATCTTCCACATGTATGCTGATGATGTCTAACTTTACATTGCTGTCTCCACCATTGACTCCAAAGCCATGGAAGTGCCTTGGCACTTCATCCGATATAACATATGGGATGAGTTTAAACATCAGCTAAATTGAAAGATTTGCATCACTCTGGACTCAATGCCTAATACTCCTGGTCTCATTTTATTGGCTTCCTATCCATATGTGAATGTGGACAAAAATATCCTTGTCCTCACATTTAAATCCTCCATACCTCTGCAGCCCTCACTAACCCTGCATCCTCGCCTACTTCCTCTGCTCCTGAGATGTGCTGCTGCATCATTGTAGGCTACTATTTTTAGCCACTAAACCCCCACCGTCTAGAAATTCCTTGCCAGGAAACTTTGCCAGTCTCTACCCAAAATGTCCTTTTCAACCGTGCTTTCTGACCCTCTTAATTTATTTTACCTCCTCTCCTTGCTCAGTCTGTCACATTCCCTCCCATTTTCCTTTCACACCACAGCCAAAGCAGTCCTTAACTCTTATGTTTAATCTCGTGCAGAGAAGGCTGCTTTCAGTTTGAACCATCCATCAGTGACGGCCTCGCCATGGGTGATGGTGACGACGATGACGATGAAGATGGTGGTGATGGAGATGAGCTGGACTTTGAACTGGAGTTCAATGTCTCAGCGGAGCCTACCCCGGGCTTCAACGAGTACAGCGCTGAGAGCGGCGTTTTAGATTGGCCGTCACCGAGCAACCTGTCTCTACAACAACAGTGCTTTCCTAATGATGCTGTTGTCATGGTGAGTGGAAATGGACAACTGGGAGGGGTTGGGGTGGGGAGGAGAGAAAGGGGAAAGGGTTAATGATAGAAATCAGATGGGGGTGGAGTTAGACATATCCATTATTGATAATGTGACAGGCGGGGATATAGGTAGAGTTAGGTATGGGTTGAGGATTATAATTGTGGTTCTGAGGATATCTTCATAGGTATAGTTATGGATAGGGTTCACGGTAGTCTGTTAGACAGTTGTAAGGGTTAGAGGATAAGGGTAAGGATAGGGGTAAAATAGGAATAGAATTATCATTAGGGTTAAATAATAAGCATAATATACCTTGATTTGAAGCTTTCGTGACTGCAGGAATCTATACTCTTTGGTTCTTTCGGTAAAGTCACATAGGTATAAAATAAAATAAATCACGTCGTTTCGGGCGCAACACAAACATCTGTCATCAAGTGGTGAAAGCATGGTCTGCTGCTGAGGCAGACTGTTTTAATAGGTTTGAAATGGGTGTAGCCCAATGGTAATAAAGAAGTGGCCGGGGCTAGTGATGTTAATGGGAGAAATTAGCATGTAACTGTAAGATAGGAGGAGAGCGGCCTCCTCGACGAGGGCACGGAAGTGGCTATGTTAATGTGAGCGATTAGCATGAAATAACAGCTGACATAGGCAGGTAGGATGGAAACATCGCAGTCAGTTAAGACTTTACCTGGTTAATAACGTCCTTCCAGTGATTGCTCAGTTTGTACCCATCTCGGTTGAAGTTGTGTCTGTTTATATATCTGGATGGCTTCATGAACAAATCTCTGAAGGTAGCCGGTAGGTTTGCAGAGTACCTCCGTCTTGGAAAAATCAATTTCGTGTGAGCCCACTGCGTTAAAACAATGATCAGAATTTGCAGAGGTATTGGCCCTACCGTGTTTCAGATCTGCCTTGTGTTTGCGAACGCAAACACAAGGCAGATCACCAGGGTATTGAATGTCAGGAATCACATCCTTTACAGATGGGATTAAATCACGGATTTTGTGTACTGTGTTGTAACTAACCTGGATCCTGTGTTTGTTTAATATTTTGGAAATCTTTTTGGTAACGCCTGCTATGTATGGCAAAGTGATGGTTTTGCTTGGATCCTGGGGGAGACAACCTTTTTAAAAGCCACCAAAAATCATAATCCAATCTTGTAAAGCACAATCCATTGCTAGAGTACTGACTGCAGTGCAGTACTAACATAAGACTGGCACATGACGTATCTGCTTTGCATGGAGATACAGCTAACCACAAGTCAGCGCTGTCAGAACTGCAATTCTTAATTTGTAAAAAAAAAAATTCTTCCAGTTTTTCTGGGTCCCCTCCCCAGAAAACCCCTATTATATGCAGGACTAGATTTAACAACACACAACGGTTTGCTCAGAAACAACAAAAATGCATGACTCCCATCATGCCTTTATATATGTGTCATGCAACCACCACAATTGGCCACCATGATGAATTGAGCAGGAAATCATTTTGGCTTGACTTTTAACAGTCTTAATTGTATGAATATGTATGTATGTAGAACTTTTTCGCACCATGCATAGCCACCGTGCTAGTCGTAGGTGCGGGAGAATTTGATATTGGATATCTATATATAAAAGGGAAATTTGTGAATATGTGTGTCTGTTCGAAATGTTTAGCATACTTCCCAACATGCAACAAACTTGAAATTTGGCATGTGGGTAGCTTCCAGACTGTACACAATGCAAAAAGTAGAAAATAGACTTTTGTATTTTGGGGGGAGGGGGCGCAATAATGGATATATTTTGCACGACAAGTGAGCGGTGACGTCACATCTGTGATGTCACCCACATGCGGCAGCGTTACGCAGTGTGCCTGCAGATGTCACGCATCCCACCCTCCGCGAAGGCCGTGTATTAATCCAAGACAAGAATCCAAGTCTCGGGCGAAGCCGGGTAGTAAAGCTAGTTGTGTTATTATTGGGTAATATTGTAATTTATAACTTATGTTACAGATTGTCAAGATGTAGCTGGGCAAGCCTTACTAACAAGTCCCAGTGATAACGATAATCCGTGTGTCATGTCCACAGGAGGAGCGGCGAAGCTGCACTCTCATTGACCCATCTCCGGCTGAGCGCAGAGCGCTGATTGGCCGCCGCCTGGGGTCCTCACTGGCCCGGTCACGGCCATCTGTGGTGGTGTGTGGCAGCCGCCCTATAGGGTCTGGGGTCCTCACACGTTGTCCGGAGTCCAGCGGGCAGGTGTGGAGACACCCATGGGCAAAGTGGATGGGGCCAGAAAGCTACAAAAGATAGAGATCCTGTTTTAAACTCCTGGCTCTGGGCGTGTTTTTAGGGGAATCATAATAGCTGCATCTGGTGCGTAATGGCTGCATCGGCCGTGTCAGCTTCCTAATGTCTGTGTTTTTGTGCTCCACAATCCCAGGGATTTGGGTTCAATTACCAACCATGGATAACATCAGCGTCAAGTGGTATATTGGAACCTGTCCTAAGCCTTTCTTAGGTTGACTCCGCTTTAAATGACTAACTGCTGCGGTTTGTCAACATCTATGGGAAGACAGACAACTATGCATGGTATTGACCACACCACCCCATTATGTGCTATTGGCTTAATTTGTGCTCACTAGCAACGTGTTTGTTAGGTGAACTTGGACTTACTAGTTACCAGTGGTGCTAACTTGGGGCTCTGGCGGAGACTCATGAAACACGCTACTTGGCAGTTATAGGCAGTCGACCTCCAACAACGATGGGAGGCAAAGGAGCCGATGCTCACCTTCCTGGGCAGAGCACCGGGTGGCTAAAGCACAGCAAGTTGTTACAATGGGGAGCAAAAGTGGTGCATCTTTCAGTCATCTCAGTTATATCCATAACACCTGGGTCTATGATGTGACCTGCCAGCAAGCCTTCAACACTTCACATGGCTTCTAAGTGCACATAGTCTGACACAAACGCTATGGAAATGTCACGCCACTTGGTGGCGAATGGCAACTTTTTTTGTATGTGGACACAGGCCGTGCGCTTATCAGAGCTGCGTTTTCCATCCATGGAGAGTGTCCTGAGGCAGCCGACTCTCAAACGAAAGATCATCATTCCTGTGTCTTTCTCCAGCCCTGCTGCGTACAAAGACACCCTCTCGTCTGCCATCATAGGTAGACAATTCACCGCACGTACTAAAATTCCCTGCCCAGCTATGCACACACATTCATTATCCAGCCTCAGCCTCATGTACACACTCACACTTCACTATCCAGTCTCACCTATATATGCAGGGAGAGGCGATCTTTCTCTCTTGCGAATTAGTATAAATATGTTTAACGTATGGCCCTATATGAAAAGCTTTAAATTTCTGAAACCCCATCCCTTTTTGGAAAGTTTATAGATCTGTCTCTGTGAGTCCCGGTCGCATAGATCCACATACACAATCATCTCACTTATCATAATCATTGCAATCATAACAATCATGACGGCCAGCAGTGGACTGAATTGGTATACATGCAGAACGTTTCTTGTGGATAAAATTGTATACATGCACAAAGTATATATGCACAAAGCTTTAGTGGAGAAAGTTGCACCATGTAATGTGCTAAAACTGCACGTAATCGGTAAGCAGTAATGGGTTACGAGAGGCTGCTTTTCAGAATGCCCCTGCGGGCACCGTGTCCCCACAGAACATCTCAATTTGATTCTGCATGACACGGCCTCTCGCCTTCACCGCAAGAAGATAGGGGGCCTGGGCAGTCGCGGAAGGCACGTGTCTCTGTATAGAAACTGTCGACTCTTCCGCCGGTGAGTGAGTTCCCAGATGAGGATGGTTGCATCTTCATTCAAATTTTTCAAATCCACCACTTTTCTAAGATTTAGGTTTTCATAGCCAATATTTGTATTTATAATTTATTTTTGGATTAGCATACTGTGCTTCGAACCCAGCGTCCCATGTTAAATTTTCACTCACGGCCAACATGATTGTCGAATATCTGACTGGTGGCTTAACTTAAAAATGTATTATAAACATTTTTATAATAAACTTTAAATGATGATGAAACCTATTACAACAGGACTGCGTGCAGGCTGGAACAATTATAAATAACATAAAGGTGTGCACAAGCAACAGGAAGGCATGACTCCCATCATGCCTTGCATATATGTCATTTGAGCACCATATTGCATGCACAATGCTCTCAGTCTTGTCTAAGCCATCAACTAGGGAGAGCTGAACATGTCGTATTTCAAGTCTTCTTGATAATTGGTTCTTTACCCTTCTATCTGGCAACAAAACTGACACCTTTTTGCAAGGAGTCATGTTTGCATAGACCGCAATACCTGCCAAAAGGCGTCATCTGGTCCAACCCATATGAGACTAGGCTCGAAGGAAAGCTGTCTCGGGTGTGGACCAATCAACTTCAAGGACAGTGCACATTATCAGAGTTATGTTCTTTTGTTTGTATTATGACTGCAGGTATTGCGGTCTATGCAAACATGACTCCTTGCAAAAAGGTGTCAGTTTTGTTGCCAGATAGAAGGGTAAAGAACCAATTATCATATTTTTACTGGCAAATGAGGTCCCCATAGTGTAAGTTTTCTTGAGTTGGTGGGCAAAACTGTTACTGCTTCTACTGCTGCTAATAAGAATGTTTATGCTGCTGATGATGATCATGATTCTGCTAATTATTTTGATAATGACGGTGATTATGATGATAACGATAATTGTAATGATAATGGTGATTATTTTAATCCACACAGGAGTGTATCGGAAGGCTTTGGGGGTCGGACCCTGGTTCAGCGATTCCGAAAAAAAAAATTCGTGACAGAAGAGATGAATTCCGGAATTAAGAGGAAACTCTTTCTGCTGCTCAACCGCAAGGATAATCACAGCAGCTACAGCAAGGGTATGTGAGTTTCTATGAATTACTTTGTGTGTGTGGAGAGCAATTTTGTAGTGGTTTAACACACTGCACTATTAACCCGGCGATTCGCTTTTGACAGTGACATAATTAAATCGGTCCTAGACCTCAGCAATAAATGAGTATTTGGTGCAGTTTGTAAACATCAGCAATGGGGAAATAAATGCAGCCTGGCGTGGTGCTAGCCACACCACCCGACCGTGTACATATTGGCCTTCATGAGTGGCTGTTTGCGTAGCTTCGTGTGACTGTATCTGTGGCTGTTTGTACGTGTGCTTTAGATGACATCTGGGTAATTTCCACGGATGCTGGGTTCCCTCCTGCCAACGTCATGGTAGTGTGCAGTGTGTTCTACGGCCCGTCAGCCTCAGGCGAGCTGGAGGTGTCCCCCTTGAGGGAACACACGTCAAGCACGTGGCCACAGAACGGTACCCACACAGTGACATCGAGACACGAAACTCACAGTAGCATAGATAAAGCACGAAGAGTGACACATTGGCATAAAGACACAGTGTTTTAGGGAAACAATACTCACAATGACAGAGACACGACACTCACACTGTGCATGCATGCATGTCTTGTGTGCGTGTGTGTAGCGACTGTGCATGCGATTCACGTGTGCAACGCCAGCTGGGAGCTCAGCTGCCTGCGGAACATCCGCGAAAACGTGGAGGTGTCCACCTTGCCCATCCTGCCTCTGATGCTTAGCCTGTGCGTGTACACAAACACTGGCACGGACATATGCGACTGTTGAAAACAGCTGGGTTCTCGTGGCTCGGTGGTCGAGCGAGCAGCTCGCAATTGAAGGTTGCGAGTTTCAATCCTGATTGGGGGTTGACTCAGCGGATCATTCTTCCCTCTGGGGTAGATAAAATAACTAGCACAACTTATGCCGTGCCCCCCAGTCCCCAGCTGCTCTGGATCCACAATCCATGACATTGGTTGTGAAGTTGAAACTAAAAGGGTTTGCTAAGAATCACTGATTGACTTCGGGAGGCCTTAATACAGCATGTGGGTGATGATGATGACAATGATGATGATTACGACGATGATTAAGGTGATGATGGTATTGATTACGTTTATGACCACGGTCATGATGACAACGATGATTATGATTACGATCACGACAATGATGATGATGACAACAATTATGATTATGATGACGACGATGATGACAATTATTACAATGAGGTTCGAGAAACGTTCCGGGGGGTAGAGGGTGGTCCTGAAAGTTCTATTTCTTTGAATAGGGCCCAACATTATATGTATTTTATCTGGTAAATGTCAACAAATAAAAATGTTCGAGGGAGTAATCATCACCCCCCCTCCCCTTTGGATCCAACACTGATCGCGATGATGACAATGTTGACGATGATTATGGTCATTACGACAACGATTATGATGATGTTCAACTGCAATGATACCCTGCCCCGCTTCCCACTCAGTGAGGGCTCACAGGAACGGAGCGTGAAATCTCGCCGAACTGGCTTCCGTCCCCCGCTCGCCCTGGCTCCGCCTGTGCATGGCAGTTGGGTCGACCCGGCCCAGACATGGCCCAGGGAACTGGCGGAGCGAACCATTGCGGAGCGGGGGCTCAACGGGGAGCAGGGTGACGTGCTGAGGAGAGTGGCCCACATGATACAAGCTGGGGCTGAGACGGCCGGGGTCACAATAGTGCAAGGTAGGAGTGGCTTTGATAATGCTAATGATGATAATTGTGACCATGAAGACAACTGAAATGACGATCGGTGTGATGGTCAGATGGCTCAGTGGTAGAGCGATCAGAAAGATTGCATGTACAATTCTGGTTGGGGGTTAACTCAGCACATCATTCTTATGGGTTGATAAAATGAGTACAGGCATACCTCTATAGCACTCAGGACGCCTTGGTAAACAGAACGCTATATGAAATAGCACTATAGGAGGTCGTTATAACATGGTCCCTATGCAGATTTATTATTGACAGCGCAATTTTTTTACTTATGAGCTTTATATGAGGGCTTCATTGGGGTATCGGCCATCGCCTTAATAATTCTACTGTACACATGATAAATGTATTAACCCCACCATAAGAACGTAGAATTCCCATAAATTGTACAGGGCTATAAACATGAGATGAGCACCACATCAATGCTCACATTCTGGGAGTTTCTTCAATTCAGTTCCTCAAGAAACTTACAGTATATGCAGTGAAAGTTGGACATCATGCCAAACTACACGTGGTACAACCCAAAACACATTGGAAAGACGTTATGGTGATAATATCAGAATATTGGATGTTAGGCTATTGCGTCCTGGTGTCACCATCAAAATCTTCAAAAATGGAAAATTACTTACAAATTATTTCAGTGGGATTACTGTTGACATAGCAACATCTAGTGGTAGATTAAGCCTATTTGCAGGCATGTGCTGAGTCATCTGGTCCCCCTGAGGAACAGCTGCAATTGGAGGTCTTTTTATAATGGTTGAGATAAGATGTGGTTCATCTTCTTGGTTATTTCGGTAAAGTCACGTAGAAGGGAAGTAATAAAATAATAAAAATAAAACATAATAAAATAATTCTCACGACGTTTCGGCCACAACGCAAGCAGCCGTCCTCAGGTGAAGAACATGTCTGTCGATAAGACAGAGTCTAAATGACACGTCTTAGGCTTGGAGTGTCTATTTAAGCTGTGAGGGAGGAGGAAGAGAGCCTTGACAAAAGAATTTGCATTTGAAGAGGAATTTAGCATATTTATGGGAAATGCAGGAATGCGAATAGTGCTAATTGTGAAATGCGTGGGAGGTGGGCGGGGGGTTTTCAAAGTCATTATGCCCATGCATTATGCAGGATTAGCAGCATCAAAGGGAGGGGGCAGGGGCAGCACCAACAAAGGGAAGGAATGTGAATAGTATGCAGCTGCAGCAACCAAACAACCACGTAAAAAAACTAAAGTATAAGCTTCATAGTATCATCAGTATACTAAATATACTCTCCAATAAGCTGAGCTACTAACAGTAAGTAATACATTACAATTCTATGTCGCAAAAAATATAATATGCTTCCAGCTAAACTTTTTTCCCTTACATCAAACAGGTCTGCCCCATACTATATGCTGTGATATGCATTTTGAGATGCTGAGGCATTTATTAAAGCGCCCTATACATGTGTAGTGAGTCCAACTGAGTCGCAGACGTCTTGGGAGCAACACTATTTATTACATGAACACGAACACAACATAACGTAAACTACACTCGGGTGTTGAACGCCCATCTAACCATGCTACGGCAGAACTAGACACGGTTCCGTTATCCCGGTCCGGACCACAAGCTGGGTCCTGGACCGCGTGGTTAGAGGCTTCTTCAACCCGATGTGGAGCTTCACTTCAACAGACACGAAGAATCCTGGGCCCCTAACGGGCCCCCGTTATATCGGCCCGGGCTGGGGCTGGCTCCACCTCTCGCCCCGCCCACCTTCTAGATCTCTTGAGCTCTTTCCCGAAGGCTCCCGAGATCTCTTTTATACCACGTGACCACCCAGCGGCTCCCGTCCACCGGTGGCCCCCCTCCAATATCATCCGGTCACGTGTCGACAGGTCAATCAGCATATCATGCCCCAACGTAACCCTGCTGGCTGACACCCTCTCTTGCTCCCTCACCGGGAGCCCGCACCTCACACTGCACACGGTGTCCCCGCGCTAACCAGCGCTCACCCAAGCCCTGCTAGGGCTGGAACTACGCCCAGTAACCGGGCTAGACATAATGACAAAACAACATCCTCTGTGGCTTCGCAAACCCGACAACACACAGTGATCTTCCCAGTCACTACACATGCAAAGACTTTTGTAATATTTATGATGCTGTTGATGATGATGCGCAGGTGTGTTCGGGGCTGGAAAGAGCTTCATGCTGTCCTGCATTGTCATGTACCTGATCGGAGTCCTCCGGAGAGTGAAGCACGAGGCCGGAACCAAGAGGACTCCTCTCAGGGTCCTCATCTCAGCCGCCACCAATGTAGCAGTGGATCGTGTCCTGCTGGGGTCTCATTCACACACCACTTACACAGTAGATACTACATACACACAATACCATAATATATACCACATATACAAGACCAATTTGACCTTTACGATACAATGTTATACCATATATATTACTTTTCAGCAATTATCTTTGTCAAAGTCCATATTTCTGACCCATATGTCATAGCAGGTAGTATATTCAATATTTCATCTTTAGGCACATTGCTATGACATAAGAGTATGGATTTTATCTCCACTGGCTCGGGATGCCAATGGAGTCAGGCTGAATTTGTTTTTACCCCTTATTATGCCAGTGTTTATTATTTGGTTAAGGTTCCCATGTAAATGAGACTATTCGTTCTCTCCAAAGGCTGCTAGATCTCGGCTTTGAAGAGTTTGTCCGTGTTGGGAGCATCAAGAAGATCGCCAAGCCCATCCTGCCCTTCAGGTGCATGTGCTTGAGTTGTCTGTGTGTTAGGGGGTTAAAGGCAAAAGGTTGTGGGGCAGTTGAGTGGTTAGTGCACTGCACTACGAATCTGACGAGCCAAGTTTGATTCACGCTCACGACCAACATTGGTCACGAATATCTGAACTGGTCCTGGGCCTCCCCAAGGTTAACTTGGCCTTAAATAAGTACCTTGTGCAGTATGTAAACTTTGATTTAAAGCTTTCGTGACTGCAGGGATTCATCTTCTTGGTTCTTTCGCAAGCAGCCGTCCTGACGGCTGCTTGCGTTGTGGCCGAAACGTCGTGAGAATAATTTTATTATGTTTTATTTTTATTATTTTATTACTTCCCTTCTACGTGACTTTACCGAAAGAACCAAGAAGACAGTATGTAAACCTCACAACTGGCGAGTCGAGGGTGGCCTTGTGTGCCATGTTGGCTTTAATATGTGCTCACAGCACTTACCCAAACAATCTGTTAAGGTGCGGGGGATCTTTGTTAGGGGGTTGTGTTTTTAAGTTTATATTAACATTGATGTGTATCTAAGTTAACAAATGTGTGTATAATGTGTGTTTGTAAAGTCGCCCTGTGTATGCAGATATGACAGTGCCAATTGTTGCCATTTGCTTCTGTATTTGTGTGTCAGTTTCTATATACATATATCAGTTTGTGTGTGAGTCTGTGTATTTGTGCTTCTATTTTTGTATAGCTCTTGTGTGTTTCTGTCCATCTCATGTTTGTCGCCATCTCGGTCATGGTGTGTTTCTCCATCTGTCAATAACTATCTGTTCATGTGTCTGTACATTTTCTCCATTTCATACTCCCTATCACTCCTTATCTCTACATGTATCCCTCTGTCTGCACATCTCTTGTCTCTCACTTCACCTCACCCTGTCTCTCCCTGGGTCATCATGGCTCCATTATCTTAATATCTCCCTATCTCTGTCTCTCCCCATCTCTTCATATTTCCCCATCTCTCCCTGTCTCTCTCTCTCTCTCTCCCTGCATTAATTGTGATCATCACTGCCTATCTCTCCCTGTGTCCTCTGACTTACCCCCTCTCCATTTGCTTCCTGTCTGGTTCCCAGCCTGCATGCTGGCTCGGGTAATGATAGTGACCAGCTGAGGGAGCTACAGTCCTTGCTAAAAGAGCAGCTCTCCCCGGCCGAGCGAGTGTTTGTCAAGCACAGCATCGAGACGCACAAGCTGGGACGCAACCGCAATCTGCTGAAGGAGGTGGAGTCCAGACACCCACACATCACTGAAGTGTTTCTGTCTCTCCCTGTGTCTTTATTCACCTATGGCCAAATCAACCGAAATGCAGCCGATTTCGTCAGATCTTGGAAGCTAACCAGTGTTGAGCCTGGTTATTACTTGTGATGAGAAAATACCTTTTCTTGGCCCAATTTTGTTTTTGTTCATCCAAAAGTTAGAAACACATCTCTATTGCCAATAATATCATCATATGGCCTTGTAATTACCAGCACACTGTTCCATCAGAGTGGGTACAGGCACGAACATCTAGTAGACTGTAAAGTGCTGAAACAACGGATGTATGAATGTGGGTCCATGTCCTTGACACCTCGACCTCCCGTGGAGCTGATCTGCCAACTTCCCGTCAGCTTGTCATCTCGAATATGCACCAGCCATTCTTCCACTGGCAGTGATGGGCATATGCCTAGGACCCCATTCAAACCTACAATATCTTGGTGTTGAGTCGCTCTTAAAAGTTGCTAGCAATAATTTGACCATTGCTTGTAGCTTGGCTTGGCATCATCACTCCTTCCTCCTGATGCCAAGGGGAAATGGGTGAAGATCAGAACTGTTATGGATATATTGGGTACACAGTTCAGAACTCCCTAGAAACCCTGTCTGACAGAAGAGATGTTTCAGCTAGCTGAGACCAAGCAGCAGGCCCACTCACCATCTACAACATCCCACGTCGGAGAATGAAGAGGCTTACTGTAGCCTCTGAACCTAATACTCCAGACCCCCACCCTCAAAAATTATTTAACACCATGCCGTAACAAATAGCTGGGGAGAACACTCCTTTTAATGTGTCTATCCCTATTTATATGTTGGTATGTGTATCTGTATGTGCGCATGTTTGTCTTTGTCTCTGTGTGCATGTCAGGTGAGTGTAGTTGGCGCCACCTGTGCTTCCTGCCCATTCCCCAGCATGAGTGGTCTATGCTTCCCATTCGTCATTCTCGATGAGTGCAGCCAGATCACCGAGCCCATGTCCCTGCTGCCCATAGCACGGTGAACGCAGCCTACACACATACACACACAGATACATAGATACACAGATACAGACAAATACAGACACAAGCACAGATTAACATAGACTAGTGCCAGCAGTGTTAAGATCATCCTCTGCGGAGGAATCTTTCGAAGGAAACTACTAGTTGGAAGCAGTCATCCTCCAACACCAGCAGAAAGCGAATGAGCACTGCTCACATGCAGCTAAAAAACAGCAAGATGGCACAGTGGGTAAAACAGGTGCTGCATCTGGCGGTCATCTCAGTTGTTTAACCCGTATCAGCTGGTTCTGTCCCATGACCTACCAGTGAGCCTTCTACACTTCACTTGAAGGTCTAAAAGTGCACCTAGCCTGGCACAAGTGCTGGGGTGACGTCAACACCACTTAGCAGCAAATGACAGCTGTTGTGTCTGTGTGCGAGTGCTGCAGGTTTGGTTGTGAGCGTCTCCTCCTGGTGGGCGACCCGCGGCAGCTGCCCCCCACGGTGCAGGGCTCTGAGCCGGAGCACGAGTCTGGCCTGGAGCAGACGCTATTCACTCGCCTCAAACACATGGTGACTCCTGCGTGTGTTTGAATGTGCATAGGTGGCTGCGTGTAAATGAGTGTGTAAAGGAGTCTGAGTGTATATGTATGAATGTAGAGGTATGTATATATGCGTGCGTGTAAATGTGTACTCTCTTTTTAGCTGCAGTACACACTCAAACAAGGTGGCACAGTGGAGAACATAGTCGGTGCATCTGCCAATTACAACTCGCAACGAACTTGTCCCAACAATATGCGCAGGTTACACAGCAGATCTTTGTACTTGTCATCTTGGGTACGTACTTAGCTTTCAAGAGATTATCTTAAGGTGCTCGATGATGTGCTCATACCGATGATGCTGTTTGCAAGATCGTATCCCAACTTAAGCACTGTCTCGGTCCTCCAGGGACACCCCCTCGTGCAGCTCAGGACACAGTACCGCTGCCACCCGCACATCAGCCTGCTTGCCGCAAGCCTCTTCTACCAGGGGGAGCTCCGTGATGGCGTCGGGGTTGCCGAGCGGCCCAGTGCGGCTCCATGGCTCCCCACTCTCGCATTTCTCGATGTGCCGGGGCAGGAGAAGGTGAGAAGGAGGAGTCGGGTGACGGAGGAGTGAGGAGAGGCAGTATGAATGCGGCATAATGTGGTAAGCAAGGAGTGGGTAGGAATATGATGGTGAGTGAGAAGAGGGATTAGGGTAAAAGGAAGGAGGAGAGAGAAATGCAGGAGGAAAGTATATGTGGAAAGTATGCAATGGACAGAGGAAATAGGAGGAGGGAGTGAGGAGGGGTAGAGTTATGAACTAGGAAGAGGGAACACAGTGATGCACTCCACTCTTTCCCTGGGCTCTCCATGCTGGCAGGTGGACACATGTGGGAGCTACTACAACAAAGCGGAGGTTGACGCTGCTGTCAAGTTGGTTGACGCCCTGGTTGAGAGCCGGGTAGAGCCTGAGGATATTGCTGTCATCACTCTCTACCGCGCCCAGGCGGCCAGGGTAGGGCAACCGCCCACCACATCCACACCTCCCACAAACACCCACGTGACCGTGCCATGGCTGCCCAGTGCTGTACTCAAGAGCCCTCGTCTCACATTTGAAATGCGGCAATCATTGCCCTTCAGTATCATCTCTGTTTTTCTGAGATAGGTAATGTATTTGCCACTGCGTGAAAAGTCAACATCAAAACTATCATCACTTTTTATACTCACAATTGGAGAAGAATGTTTTCAGATTGTCCATAAAGATAATCATGACGTGTTCAACAGCACGCATTTCTTTAAAAGATCTGCCCTTGAGGATTATATGTCCCTGTCCCTAACACCATTATAAGCATAAAGATCATCACTACCACCATGGTCACTATTACCACGTTACTATACTCATAATTATCCACATGGTCATAAATGACACCACCTCCAACTCCACCACTACCATCAACATCACCACCTCCACTATAACCTCCACCGCCTAACTACCACTTGTTACTACCACCATCATCACCACGAAATATAACCACGACCACCACCTTCACTATTTTCACCAGCATAATCATCACCACTTCCATTATAACCATCACAACTCCCACTTTTCGCCACCTCCACTATTACCATCATCATAATGATCACCACTTCCTTCCACCATAGCCTCATACTTTCTCCACCTGATTGTAGTCATCCTCACGTGTGACATCTCTCTTCCCCCTACCCGCACGGTGTGGCGTGTAGGTGCACGAGTGTCTCGCGTCCCTCTCCGGCTCGTTGGCAGCCGTCCGTGTATGCACGGCGGACGCGTTCCAGGGTGGCGAGGTGCGCGTGTGCGTGCTCAGCATCGTCCGTTCACCTCGAGACTCGTCCTCCTCTTTCTCCTCATCATCATTCGTGGAATCGGAGCAGCGTGCATGCGTGGCTCTGACGAGGGCGCGTGGGAATCTGGTGGTGCTGGGTTGTGCTACGTCGCTTGGCAGGGGTGCCCTCTGGGGGCGGGTGCTCAAGCACTGCCAAGGTGCGTGTGTATATGCGATGCTTACAACAACGAGGAGTGCACCGAGCGGCTAAAACACAGCAAAGAAAATTAACATAGTGGGGGTAACCGGTGCTGCATCTGCCAGGCATCTCCTTCAGTCAAGCCATAACACCTGGGTCTGTCCAGTCACCTGCCAGCAAAGCATCTATGTGATAGCTTCAAAATAAGTCTAGCCTGGCACAAGTGCTGTGGTGAAATCCCCGTCACTTAGTGGCATATGGCGGCTGCTTTGTGTGGAATGTGTGCAGATGTAGTATGTGCATAGTGGTGGTACAGTGGTTAGCGCACTGCACTACCAACCCAGCCACCAGAGTGCGTTTCTCACTGATGATCAATAACAATTAATATCTGATCCATTCTTGGTCGATGCAGCCTTGAATGAGTAGATGATGCAGTGTGTTAACAATGACTGGTAACAACGGCAGTTGGATGTGATGCTGGCCACATCACCCCCTCGTCCTCCGTGCCAGCATTCATAAATGCTTGCTAACATAACTTACTCCAGCAGCATATTAAGGCTATAAGAGGGGTCTTTGTGTGTACGTGTGTGAGTGTATGCATGTGTCTGTGTGCAGGTGCGCAAGAGCATGTGTGCGAGTGTGTGGATGGTTATTGCCACATCTGACCCACGGGCACCAATTGAAGATCCCTGATGTAAGATATTCCATAGCAATGGGTTGAATGATGCACATGAGTAGTGATTCAGGCATATCTGATTGACTGCTCATGTCTCCAGAGCATGGAGCCGTGCTGAGTTCTCGGGAGTTCTCTGCTCAGCTCGATCACATCATTGCCGCACGTGGGTGCGGGGAGCCCGAAGGCTCCAGAGGATCAGAGGAACCGCAGAAGAAACGGAGGAAACAAAATCCAAGCAAGGTGCGGCAGTAATGATCCTCTCTATTAATCCGCCAGCTCCACTTGCATTCATAAAGTATCTGTATACAAAACCGTGCCTGGAATGCACCCAATCTCATCAGGTGCTCGGAAGCTAAGCAGACTTGAGCCTGGATTGTGCTTGGCATGTATCAACACCATGTCAGGTTGTCGAAGGTGGCTATACAGCTGTGCTACATTGTAGGCAGCAAATGGCAGTGCAACAAAATCAATAGTTGTACTTCTATGCTTTCACTAACCCACACTGACTGATATCGTTTGGTGAAAATATCCACCAGGATCAGCACGTGAATCAGTCATTAGCCAGCAGCGAATTGACTAAAGGGCACCACAACTACAATACATATACCTTATCACAAGACACTGAGGCTTGTAGATCATAAGTGTGGGAGGTGAGGAGGTGATGAAAAAAGATGCAGTCGAGGTGGAAAGATCAAGGTAATGTAAAAAATGTTTTATCTTATGAAAGCTTCACTGATTCAAGATGTTTTCAGGAGCGTTTGGCATGAGGTTTTTGGCCAATTCCATAAATGAGTTACACGTGGGAGAAGAGCAGATTACCCATACAGATGTGGAAATAATATTCGAACTCTACCATCTGGCCACCTAAAAGCCCATTGTATTTAGGATTTTCACAAATATGCGTGATCTACCAACCATTCCCTAGAGTGCTGGATCAAAGGCACTATGACCAGCCAGTAACAATGCAGATGAGATGAGAGCAAGTAGGCACTGGTAGAGAGAAATATCATGAATGTGTAGAAGACGAAAAGTCTTGAACCTAGACTTAAGGGGGACAAACTGGGCCGTGCGGACAGGCAGAGGGACTACGGCAGTAGCAACAGAGTAGCGACCACCCATTGTAAGCCCACTAACGCTTCATTGGGTGAAGTTTGACTGATATTGCAGCAGAATGCCATGTCTTTTGGAGTTAAGGGCATGGGGAGGGGAATAGAGCATGTTGAAGTGGGAGAGGTAGGTGTAGATGATAAGTAGGGGATGTTAATGAAAGTGAGATTTTAGAGATCAAGACAGACCTAAGCCAATGAACCAGGTGACTGGGCAGTTCGTGGCTGGCTCGTCGGGCTGATCATCAGAATAATGTGTCTAGGTGATGTTGATAGCTTGCGATAGTGCATAATAGGTTAATTATTCAGTTGTGAGGATGACTGGGAGGTTGATTATATATATGGAAATCAGGAGGTTAATGGTTGTCATGGTGATGATATTTAATGGTGTGTTTGTTGCGGTCAGTCGCCCCAGGCCTCCAGGAAGCAGCCTCAACCCGGGGATGTGGATTTGCTGGGATCGGACTGGGAATCGGGCGATGAAAAGCTGGCCCCAGAAAATGATCTCAACAAAAGTCAGGGTCGCCCACAGCGTCGCAGAATCCTCGACCTCGGCTCAGAGTCTTCGGATGAAGAGTGAATCAGTTCACAGTCTCAGTTCCTGAGTTCATAGTTACAAGGAGTTCCTGAGGCCAGTGAAGAGTTTTACGGTCTCAACTGATTCTTGTAAATTCTTCTCATATGCAGATTCCAGGCTTCACAACTTGGCAAGGAAGACACCTGGCTGGACCCAAAATACTGAACGTTATCAAAAACTAGGCATGTCTTAATTCTAAATTTGAAGCTTTTGTGACTGCAAGGATTCATACTCTTTGGTTTTTTCGGTAAAGTCACGTAGGTAAAAAATAAAATAAATGAAAACTAAATTAAATCACGTTTTGGGCCCAACACAAGCGTCCGTCATTAGGTGGGAGATAATGGCCTACTGCTGATGCAGACTATTTTAAAGGATGCAGACTGTTTTAAAGGAAAACAGCCCGCATCAGCAGTAGGCCTTTAAAACAGTCTACATCAGCAGTAGGCCATGCTTTCCCACCTGATGACGGACGCTTGTGTTGCACCTGAAACGTCGTGATTTAATTGAGTTGTTTTCATTTATTATTTTATTTTTTACCTACATGACTTTACCGAAAAAACCAAAGAGTAGACATGTCTTGCATGGAAGACCTTGGATTATAAACATGAAAAGTATACTCTAATGAAATTGGGCGGAAGGTAAAAAGTGTTGGTGAGGTGTGGCATCAACAGCTTTGGCCATGATGACATCTTGATCTTTTTTCGTGAAAACATTGGAAGAAAAAGTAAAAACCAAGTACAGAATAACTAAAACATCCCAAACATTAAATGTACCTGACATGAATCACAGCAGAATAAAGCAATATTTTATATTAATAATTGTACTAAAATACAAAATAATTATTTATCAAGCTGTTCTATTATTCCAACATAAATTGAGTTCATCATTTAGAGAGAAACTCTTCCATAGGAATGTGGAATGTTCACCACTCTGGGCTGCCAATGGACAAGAGTGCCACTTAAGTTTGATAATACGCTTTAAGCTTGTTTTAAATTAACAATGTGTTTTTATTTATTGTGCGTTAATGTTTGAGTGTAAAACCCTAATAAACAAGTGTTTGTGTTATTTAAAATGTATCTGTAGTGTTTTTTCTTTCAAGCTACCAAACGCCTCAGTGATTTCAGAAAGGCTGGCCTGGCATTCTGGCCGAATCGCACCTCCGATTAGCCGGTTAATTGCGTACGATGCGAACGAAATTCAACAATCCTTGACTTATAAATAGTTGGGCGGGTGGGGGGCTGTCAGTGGAAGGCCACTGACTGATCTGGGCTAGTCCTTACCTCATTCAATCTCATTCTTACCTTTATTCATTCTTATTCAGTCACAACTCTCATTCATTCTCATTTTTACCTCAGTCACTAATTCCTCATTTGTTACTGAATTATATCACCTCTCGTTGCCTTAATCGCCCATTCTTATTTTTCCAACCTAAATCAATTATTTCTCTCATTCTTATTCTATCCATATTTCATTTACTTTTTATTGATTCTCATTCTTACCTTATTACATCACCAATACCTCTCATTCATTCTTGCATCATAGAATCATTCATTCTCTTCAGCACCTCCCGTCCGTTGTGATATTCATGTGGAGAATTATAAAAAAAAAACTATTTAAAAAACACGCAGGTAAACATGCAACACACTCGAGCAATTACACGCGCACTCTCAAAAAACACTCGTGGCAAATGTACGCAACGTCACATAACTTTACAACAAAATAGCTGGACGCGAACTCTTGCCGCAAGTCCCGGCTCAAAGGGCACCGAGCGGCCATGGCAGCGGCTGTGTTGCGTGAGGGGTTGTTCTCCTGGTACCAGCTGATTGGCCGGTGCCGTGAGAGCGGAGACAATCCACAAAGATCCCCACCCCCCGTCTATTGGCTTACACAGCCTGTTGGGGTCAAGTGCTGTTCGCGAGCAGCGCATATGAAGGCCGGCAAACAATCCGTAGCAAGGACAAAAAAAACATCCGTTGGGATATTCATGTGGAGACAGGCAAGTGATCGGAGCAAAGATGAGTGTCTTGTAATATGTGACACGTGGAAGCGCTGGTCATTTTTTATCTAATAAAATGGTACAATGATTGAAGGTTGTGTCTATAAAGATGAATGGTGTCAAGCTCGTCCAAGACATGATGCGATCGAGTGGACTGATGGATTATGTCCAGCTGAAGCAATGGGTGGTGTGTAGCAGTGTCTGTAGAAAGTGCATTCTACAAATAACTGTCCATAGCCTCCAATCCTCCAGATAATTGAGTATCTGAATTATTGAAATGTATAGACAACAACATCCTTTTTGATAATTGTAGAATTCGTTTATTGAAATTCATATCAACCCATTACATGACACTGATTATCTCACCAGGAATTGTAAAAAAATACATTTTTAAAACGGAATTAAAAGGTCACGGTGACTTTAACGAAAGAACCAAAGAATATGAATAAGTCACGGTTATCAATTATCTAGCCACTGCTGGATGAAGGCCTCTCCAAGCCATCCATCATTGTCCTGCAATGAAGAATTAGGCCCAGAACTTGCACACACGAGCCGATTTTATTGCTACATTTTGTGCAGTGGATTTTCTGGAGGTCATATCACTTCATATGGCTGCCAGTCTGTATGTATGTACGTATGTTGAACTTATTTCGGACCGTACATAGTCAACAGTGCTAATCGGAGTCTGTCATGTCTCAACCACCAGCCGTCATCCCTTCTAGCGACGTTCCCTGTCCAAGCCCACTTATTTTTGTTAAGAGTCAATTCGACGTTCATTTGTTTTCAAATCAATGTTCCTTTTACTTTCAGTTTAATTTTAAGCATGCACCTCTCCATGCTTCGTTGCACATTTTCAGCTTTTTTCAAATCTCTTCATCAATGTCAATGTTTATGATGTACAAATAATATCTGCTCATGAATAATGTATCTTCTCTAAGGCACTTATGGTACTGCTCAATATTAAATAAGTTTTCCCAAAAGTACTCCAATCGACTCTCGTCTGCCTCTGTTTATGTTTGCGGATTTATGTTTGTGGATTTTTATCCTTATCTCACTTCGCTTCTAATATGTATATTCTATTTTTATACGATATCAACGTAGCTATTTCATTTTTTTAAACAGTTTAACGTTTTTAAAGCTTTTATTGATTTATTTTTGACTTATTTTGTGTATTTATAGTAAGCTTACAAAGCATTGCCGATTAGCATGGTTGGCTATGTACAGTGAAAAATAATTAAAACATACATACGAAGCATATATATTGACAAACATACCAGTTGCTACTAATTATAAAGATTAAAACAATACCCCCTCTCCCTCCATAAAATGAAATAATCTGATTAATTAACCATCTGGGTATACATTCAGCTCCTCATCCTTATATCTAACGTGTGTATTATATCAATCTCAATAGATCAAGAATTGTGGACGTCATCATTACCAACCATATCACCACCATATAAAATGTCTAAAACCACGTATTGATGCTTCGTCATTTATTCTGTAGTTTTCGATCCACTTAGTTCAGTTTATTGAACTAATGCCCATTTTTAGATATTATTTCATAGGAATGTTACTCCAACCTTATTTACACCAACACAGAAAATGTATTCACCTAGCATCTCTCCTGTACAGCAATGTTGTTTCAAATGTATTCCATATAGGCCAAATAGAAAAGTAGGACATTTATTTTGCCATTATCCGTTGTACATTCATTTAAGTGGCTTGTAAATAATTGTTAATAATTGTTCTTAAAATCAGTCATTGCATAAACATTTTGTTACGAGACAACCTAACAAACACCTCTTCCTCATTATTTGTTCTGCATACGTCTTTCACAGCATATTCAATGCAATCACAGATGCTTTACAAATTCATATTATATTCCATTGCAATGCACTGTGATAGGTTCACCTATCTGCAGTCTTAACAATGAGTACAGGAGAGCCGATACGTGGAAGGGTTTCATCATCACTCAATGTGGTGGTTCAAAAATTAGTGTAATTATTCAAATATTGTGTACAATGCCATAAATGTGGACAATGTTTTGTTACCCAATGGTATTATCAGATAGTAATTTCAAATTAATGTACACATAACTGTTATTTATTTCTGACTGTATTGGAGACTTGTTAAAATACAACACTGAAAACTGAGCCTCACAGGCCTGTGTACTGCTTGATCCACTTCAGGAGCTTGCTCGTCTTGGTGTAGACGGCAGGTTTCATGGGCCGTGCACACCCATTGCCCCAGCTGGTGACGCCGCTCAAGTACCAGGTCCCATCCGTGCCCTGGCAGGTGAGTGGGCCCCCTGAATCTCCCTGCAGCCGGCAACAGAGATACGATGAGCTTAGCACAACTCTCGCCTTTATTACACGTGGAGTATTGTTTTTAATGCATAACCATCAGCCACAATAACACATTCCTGCGGAGGGAGCTGGTAGGAACGTTGGGTTGCTCGGTCAATGGCCAGGGTCAACGGCGGCGTGGTGTATTCCGCAAATATGCCTGACTGTGAGGGTGGGCACAAGCCGGCGTGAGTAGGTTAAACGTTGAGTTTTATAAGGGCACCACGGGGTGACCAGCCCCTCCCCACTCAGCCCCACCCCTCCCACCCAGCCCCACCCCTCCCACCCAGCCCCACCCCAACCTCCCCACCCAACCCCTCCCCACCCTCCCCACCCAGCCCCTCCCCACCCAGCCCCTCCCCACCCTCCCCTCCCCACCCAGCCCCTCCCTACCCTACCCTCCCCACCCAGCCCCTCCCTCCCCACCCAGCCCCTCCCTGCACGACGGACGGACGGTCACAATAATCCCGTGAGCTGGTGTAACCAAGAGGTTCCTACCAGTATTAGGGGTAACTGTTTACTTTTTCAATGAACTCAATGCAAGTATTAGCATCATATCGTATATTTTTTTCGCAAGACGAGCATATCTTATCGATTAATTTAACTAAGCTTTAATGGAAATTCAATTATGATTAATGACTCGGGTATATATTAAGATCAATTTACAAACTAAATTGGTAGTTATGCGTATTGTATTTGCATCCTCGAATGCTGTCTAATTTTCTATTAAGCACAGAATACATGTGGATGTTAAGTCACCATTAATGTGTTACATCTGACGTGTACTCACTTGGCATGCACTTATGCCTCCAGCCGGATGTCCAATGCAGATCATCCTCGTTGTGATTGACTTCCCATTCATCTTGTCTGATGAGCAGCCACTGTGGCTGAACACGTCCATTGGAGCATCAAGCAAACTATAATACACTCCATAATCTGCACAAAACAAGATGATTTACGTGAGTTAAAGCTTGGTGTTTACATTGCATAATTTTAGCTCTTATTTCTGTTACAGCTTCAGTCAGGAATTAACAACTGGGATAGCTCTGCCATGTATGCCAACTGCTCCGTATAAGTGGAAAAGGCGGTTACAACACCAGTTTTATGGTTTGTGTAACACACTGCATGGGTTATTAGCAGCTGGTAGGGCGAACCCTTTATCCCCACACTCAACTGACCCAGCCCCAGAGCCATTCAACTGGCACAAGAGTGGACTCCAAATCGAGATGCTCAGGGCACTCGATAGGCTCGCTGACATGCCACCTCTTCATGTACCCTAAGCAATACCTTGTCTGAGCCCTGGGATACTCTTGGATACTCAGAGGACTTTACCTCAACATCATTTAGAGATGTCTGAAGATCACTCTTCCGAGTATGGAGCATTACAGTGTCAATTATTGGTGATGTGTAAAATTCACCCTGACAGCATTACGATGTCAGTTACTAGAGATACCTGGAAAGTATTGCTTGGTGTATGAAAACATTCTGCCATCCTGCAAACCTGCAACCTCATCAAGCTGTATTGATCCTAAAATCGAGGCCTGCAGGGTTGCTACACTTTCAAATCTGCCTTAATCCTGTGATCAAAACTTGTGGTCCTGCAACTTCTTGTTTCAAGCATATGATCAGGTATTGCGGTATGGCAAAATGGTCATCCCTGTGGTGATCTGGTGATCAGAGTTCTACATCTACAACTTCGTCTCTGCTTTTGTGATCTGGAAACCCAAGTTCCATGCACATAAACGTGTTGTTGCTACTGCAGCTTGCCACGAAAGTACTGTGCTTTCAACCCTTTTTTGGTTCCTGTGATATTGCAACCGAGTTCTGGGAAGGTAACATGATACTGGGCCTTAAGAGGGTTTAGAGCCCTCTCTGGCCAACGGGGTTCTGTGAGTACCTCATATGCATTATACCCCAAATCCCATAGAACAGTTCAGCCAATAACGACACATTCCGTGGCCATTATTAAACACAGTTTAATTTTCCCGAGCCCTAGACATTTCCCTGGGTTAACTGGAACGGAGTTGGGATTTTACCATAAGTGCCTTCACCCATGATAGAATTAACTTTTGAATTGCTTTGATATGTCAAACCATACCTTGAATTTACATTGAATCATGCTGTTACATTTTATGTTACTGTGATACCAATTCCTTTCTAATTCACATATTGGACATGAATCATAACCTGTGTTTAAATGCCCTTGTGACCTTAGAAAACCTTTAATTAGGAGGACGTGTTTCCTTGTGCAAACCCAAAGTTATTTGTTTTTCCTTATCTTGAACATTTGCCATATAATCTGTTATCCTGCTGCTATACACAGCTTCAGACAAAGACAAAGGTGCATGCCTGGATTCCATCTGTGACTGTGGCTGATGGTTTGTCTATGCTTATGGACCCCTTCCGAGAAAATGTGGTCGAGGCATTTGGCGATTCTCTAAATCCTCCATATAGGAGGTGTTGGCCAAAACCGACTCTCCCAATTCTCTCTGTACCATACGCATTGAAGCACATATATAAAGATTTGTGAACTCATCTATATTAAATTTCTTGATGGAAGCATAATTTGAACTGTATTATAGTCTTGCCCATGATCAAATCACCTGAAATGTGCCAGATTTTGACAGAGCTTAGAGCTAAGCCAGGTGAGTCTGGATAATATTTGGACAAGCAACCACCACCCATGCCAGGTTTTATAGGCAGCTGTGGGACTAAGTGGTGGGCAGTAGTAGAGAACAGTGGAGCAAAATCCATTGCACTGTTTTATGCTCCCACATCCATGCACCTAGCCTTCAACAACCCTGCCGTGACCACCACGTTGGATTATATATTCAAATAACCCCCACGACCTCAGCATGAGAAGACCGCCATCCAGAAGTGGATTGAGAAACATGTAGGCAGTACATACAAATTAACTAAATTTGCACATTAAGGATTTACTGCTGTGAAACATCTTCTTGGTTCTTTTGGTAAAGTCACGTAGAAGGGAAGTAAGTATTTTATTACTTCCCTTCTACGTGACTTTTATTACTTCCCTTCTACGTGACTTTACCGAAAGAACCAAGAAGATGAATCCCTGCAGTCACGAAAGCTTTAAATCGAAAATGCTGTGAAACAGTTCATTACCATTACTCGCGCTCTGTATTGCGCGTATACTTTTGCAATCACAAGCTATAGCTCACCAGCCTCGGAGGTTCGTCCCCATCCAGAGATGTAGCAGGTCTTCCCAGGCAGTGGGAAGTGGCTGGTGTCCGGCGGCAGACAGATCGGGGATATTTGGCTCGTGAAATCCACAGACCGGCTCAACCGCACCAGTGCAATGTCATAGTCTATGGCTGTGTAGTTGAACCTCTCATGAGTGATGATCTCAGCTACCGCCAAATTCACAGAGCTCCAGCTGTCGTAGATGTATGTGGTACCCAGACGCACTTGCCATGCATTGACGTCGTTTCTTCCCCTGCAGACAGAAACATGTATCCATTATTCCTACAATTATGGATGAACAAAGGTTAAATTATGGTTCTTGGTGCAGTAATTGGTTAACGGAACACATTTTAGCATTGTCTAGGTACAGATACTTGCTGACATTTTAGAGAAGCTGCCACAGTTTGATGGTTAACATAATTAATCTGATTTTCTTGCTCAGCAGTTAATTCATGGAAACATTTATTAAATCCCATTACCTCTGTACACCCAGTAATATAAATGGGTATATAGCAGTTGATTGGCAGATTGAATTTTGTGCGGTAAACTATGGGTCCTCTCACCTCTTCGAATGTGTCTGCTCATCATGGAGGATTAGGCCAATTACCCTCTAGAGGGCTCTCTAGAGCTCCCTCGAGTGGAGGCCCTTCTGTCAGCAGTGGCATGAGAAAATAATAGCAGGGCTACACCTGCAGATTTACCTTTCTATAATCTTGCTCTGTTTTGGGTAATAGCCCCCTGAGCTTCATATTTAAACATGTTTACGCTGACTGATTAAAAAAAGAATTAAAGTTGCATTTGCCTGGCATACACATGCCAACAGGATCAACTACATATGTCATTCTGGCAATTCATGCTGAGACAGACCAAACTTAAAATTATTTGAGGCAATGAGAAATACATTTGTACCAGTTTTGAAAAACACAGTATTGTATGTGCCAGACGTTTAATCAGTTTATTTTTCCAATCAGATCCTGAATCTTTATATTACATAAGGATAACTTGAATTATTCAACAATAAAGTAAAATCAATATTAACCAGCTTCATGGCCATTTTCATGGACATGCAGTTGCAAGTAAAATACTTATTCTAATTTTACAATATACTGTCTTTAGATTTAAATGGTTGTAACTGGTCAAACTGTTATTGTTAAAGCGTTAAACATATACGTTTCATTGGTAATTCGTAAATGGAAATTTACAGGATATGAAATTAAGAGTGAGACTCTTTTTTGCTCAGAAATTATGCTGGTGTCGACCAATACACAATGTTTTTATTATTATATTTTAAACATGTGTACTTGTGTGACAGCTTGGATTCATGCGTAAATTTTTACATCCTAGATAACTTAATACTTATATTTTCATATTGTCACATAAGCAAAACATGAACAAACATTGTGTTGTACCTCTCTATGATGAATCACATTTATTTATTTTTAAACGCAAGGCACTCATGAAAAAAATGTATCCAAGCATCATATAAAAGAACAGTAGAGCAGACAACGTAGGTTATGAGAAGATGAGTTTTTAGTAAATGGGCTATATCATTGATTTAAACATCTGCTTATTTTACAGAACATTAAAAAAGTATATTAAAACGCTAATATGTAAGGTCTACAACAGTGCATTGAAAAATACAACTATGCAATTATAATTTCACTACATTGCTTCGTAAAGAAATCCATAAGGTCTTAATCCACATACTCAAAACAGTGCGCAGCAGATACGAGCCAGTCCTTGGAGATGAGACTCGCTCCGCACATGTGACTATTGTAGAATTGGAGGCTTGCCTGCCACGGCCACTTCCCCACATTGGCAAGACTTCCACCCACAACGCGACTCTTCCCTCCTGTAGGAACTCGGCCACACTCTAAACAAGTGGTACAAAATCAGCTAAGGTGTATACACGCACAATCAGTTGTTTTTCCAAGCACATTCTTGTCAATAATGTTAGTTGCACATGATCGCTTGTTGATAAGGTGGACTAATGAACGCTCTCCTAGATTTCAATGAGACAACTCATCAACATGACATCAGTAAAGGTCATGTCCCATGGAAACCCAGCTGGGATTGTAGCAAGGATTTGATCAAGTAGCAATAGTGGTGGGAGCTGGTGCTTGATATTGACTGGGTGATGTGACTGGATCAGAAAGTTAATGTGAACGCTCAATATTGTGCAAGTCTCATCAACTGTTTAGCCAGTTCTAATAAACCAATGCACATGTCTAATATTGATAAATCGACATCTTATCAACTGATCTAACAATAATGTCAAGCTCCCTCTAAAAATTGCATGTTTTTGTACGCTGAGAACAGGTTTTCCCCCTTTTTCTGGCAACAAAGAGGTGTTAAGATGTTAAAACACCAAACTGAAGCCTTTTACAAGGAATCATGTCTTAATTAACCACAATACTTGTGGTCAGAATGCAAACAAAAAACATACTCTGATAATATATGCATTGTCTTTGAAACTGATTGGTCCACACCAGAGACAGCTTTATTTTGAGCCTAGTCTCAAAACGGTGTTAGACCAGAGGACGCCAAAAGGCGTCTACTAATCTTACACTCTACAATCTAGTAGTAGCACAGCAGTCACATTGTGCTTATCAATTGGGCAATCTGATATCAATACCTGTGCAAGACACATTTTTACAATGTTTTACAATGTTCACATTTGATGCAATTACCTTCACAACCCACCACTTATTTCCACAACATGTACTCCCTTATGATTCACCATTACAAAATTTAACATTTTATTTCATTACATTGTTACGTTAAAGTGCTTATTTGTTTTTGCGATGCTACACTCACCTTTTTTGACTGTGGGAACAATCTTTGGAACACTGAAATAAGTGAAGGTAAATCTTTTCCCTGAAAATAAAAACATCCAGTTATTATCATGGTTGATACAAGTATGTATAGCACCATATTTCATATATAAACATTGTAATGAGGTCGCAAAAATAATCTCCATGTCATTGGTATTAATTATTTTACATTCATGCTAATGTTGTAAATTGCAGGCAACATTTCTCAGAGTACCATTTTGACGAGGACTCTGGAAAACTGGCGACTTCACTAAATTTTAGGATTGGTCACAAACAGCCATTTGGGCAGAAAGTATAAGCATTACAGTGTGATGAAATAACATCTCGTTCTAAGATCAGCAACCTGATTTTCCCCCAGAAACTACTATGACCACGAAAAGAAGTACAAATGTATTCAAATTCTTTACATCAGTAATAATGGGTGTGCGTTTAGGTATAATGTTCATTTTTATACATGATCGTATTTAGACAATTATAAATAAAATTTGTATGAAACTAGCCGTTAAAAAAGTGTTTCTAAACATTGAAGAAATCGTTTCTACATTGTGGATTTACAAGTATGACCTCCCAATGTATGTTATGGAGCCTGTGTTATGTATTTCGACATACAGGGTTCGTTTGTACGAAGACGAAGTAGCAGGTGGAGGCTGTCGGAGTTTGATCGCACGGATAGTGGAATGCTCGAGCCGCAAAAGATGCCCAGGCTGGTGTTCAGAGATCTTTCTCCATCATAGACAGTGAGGCTCTCATTCCAGCAGAGAGGATCATCCTCGAGTCTGTGTGCCCACGATAAATTGATATACATAAGTGTTGGTGATGCGTGCATTTTCAATAATTAATTCATGAACATATGTCTACATATAAATCATGTAACAAAGATACAAGCGTATGAGAATGATTATTGCATGTGTAGTGAGCGACTTCCCAGACACAACGTGGAGAGGACTTCTTATTTACTAGCCTTTTGACTGTCCAAGGACGGGTGTATTGCAGTAAATCTGAAACTTGCAAGCGAAAAGCAGACTGCGACGTGATATGAATTGTATCCATTCGTGTGCAATTTGTAAGGGCGCGGTGACACAGACCTATTTCATTTTACGGTTGTTCATCATGACGTCCTTTTTATTGATATGTCTCAATCGCGTGACGTGAGGGTTTTGTCTTCGTAGTGAGGGTTGTGAGTTGACGCTGAGGAGGGGGGAGGAGGCGCCTCGGCCCCCCATGTGGAGTGACGTCAGCCGCATATTATTATTATTGGGGGGGGGGGGGTCCATTTGGAGGACGTCACCTGCTCATGATTATTAATGAGGGAGAGTGCTCCATGTGGAGTGACGTCAGCCACTAATTATTATGAATGGGGGGGGTCCATGTGGAGGACGTCACCTGCTCATGATTATTAATGAGGGGGGCTGTTCGATGTTGAGTGACGACACCTGCTCATGATTATTAATGAGGAGGGATGGGGGGGTGTCCATTTGGAGGCCATCACCTGCTCATAAATATTAATGAGGGGGGCTGGTCGATGTGGAGTGACGTCACGAGCGCTAAGGACATTCCTGGGTGATAATAGTAGGTATTTCTCACACTTTAAGCACAATCACTGGGCGACATATATAAAAACACGGCTACGCATAGCTGACCCATCTACACAGCCCCATCATCGGTGTCTAACTATATAGCTGGCTGACTAACATAGTGACGACAATGATGGGAGCCGTGCAGAGGATCGGCCATGTGGCCAGACGATGAAGAGAGATGACAGCGAAGCCAGCGACGGTGGCCAGGCCCCGCCTCCGGCCACGCCTCCTTCTAGAACCTTCGAGCAGGTTACCGAAGCTTCCCGGCTGACCCCGCCTTTTACTTGAAACCCAGTTACACCCCCCCTTCTAGTTGGTTATTATATAACGTACCCATACTCGCGATTATCCCTCCTGGTCAACAGATGGCACCCTGTCATTACACATGTACAGTAATGATCCAGTACATACTATAGCTAGGCCTGATGGCACACAAGTAATCAGGTGTTTTGAAGGATCATGCAGAATTCTTCAAGCACTATGAGATTCCCAAATCTGTTTAACACGTAGGCTTTCGCGACCAATATTATTCATAATCAACGTTTTTGGGTTTAGATCGCGTTATTTATAAATGTGTCGTAACCCTCCACCACCCGACACGGCATCCAGCGAAACGTCGTACTCAAATTGTAAATGTTGTGGTTTCACGCTTCAACACACCGGTGGGCTAATGCAGTGAACTATTTGTCTTTTGTCAACGTGACACTTTTTTTACTGATTGGCCGTGTCGAGTGGTGGAGGGTTACGACACATTTATAAATAACGCGATCTAAACCCAAAAACGTTGATTATGAATTCCCAAATCTGCTGGGCTGCAAGGTGGTGAGGAGGCAGAAGTAGATTCTATCTCTGTCATGTATTAATATTTACATCTTGCCATCTCAGAGCTATTATTTGCTTCCATGCTGCCATTGCTTGTTGTGATATCTTCACTATTATTAACAGTGGTCCCCACTTTCAGTGTATTATAAATGATATCTCAATATTTAAATCGGTGACTTATTCAATAATTTTGCTTACATTTATTGCTTATAATCAGTATACATTCTCTCATCTCCAGAGCCAAAGTTTGAATGTTAACTGTCATTTATTGACCGTAATTAGATGTCATCTCATTGGCAATGTTGAAGTGTAACTTGCTTCATACCAGCTTGCAATCACATCCTGTGTTGACTTTTTGGGATGACAGAGATATTTTACAATCTGGGGTTTATCCGTGACAATCCAGACAGCTTTATTCATAATTTCTAAATTTGGGCTCCTCCATTTCCATCTTTTACCTACTTTTGCATTTCAGGCACCCAATAATGTGCTGTAATGTGTTTTACCTTCATTTAATAGTTAATATGTTCGTACAATTGTTCTACTTCATCTTCATGGCTTGTTGTTGGAGCATATATAATCATTTTGGTTTGTTGTGGATCAAAAACCTCAATGGTAACTGGGCAACTTTATATGAAGCAATCTTGAATTCTACAGCTTTTTCTTGATTCCAGGGAAGGCAAAATCCCACACCATAATTAGTTAACTCTCCCTCAAATTAATACATGTTTGACACTGTTTAGTTGTATGGACTTTTTCCTTTTTCTCACCATCAACTATGTTCAACCATGTCCTAAGTTATGTCTCCAGCAATATTGCATGTAGCAAAGGCCATATCCAAAGGCGTCCTGCTTGTAAACAGTGGTTCTTGGCACCCATTGCTCCTTCACTTTTCCACCCACCAGTGCTAAGAACTAGCTTACACAAACTACCCCAGTTTGTTTGTATTTACTCACTGCAAGTCAGAAAAGTCGATTTTGACGTTGAACCCTTCCGGTACACGCAGCTCCCACAAGAACAAGAGTATGTTCTGCCTTTGTGAGGTGACATCGAATGAAGAAATTCTCTCTGCGTTGTTCTCCAGCACTGATGTGTAGACTTCCATAGCTATTTGGAACACAGCACAGATAGGCTGCCATTACTTTTTGCATATGTACCCAAGTACTTTGAAGGGGGGTTATTGTTGTTATGATTCTAAATATGTTTTCTATTTTACCATCATCGAAGTGCATATAAGCACGTGTATAAATTGCAAATGCTGCCAATTAATGAAACGGGGCCTGAAAAAAAGCAATCTACAGATGAAAACAATTGTGATTCATTCTGATTGCAGTGCTGGTTCAATAAGTACACAACTTTATGATGAACATGAACAGTTGTGGTAAATAAAATTACAACGGAAATCACAGATACAAATTGGGACATTTGGAACATTTTAACGACCTCTAATTTGTATTAATCATAATTCGTTGGCAGTATCGACAACAGGATAGGTTAAGGTACAGAGTCGAATTCAAGGGAGAACCTCAATATATGTATATCTACTGGGGGCGCCCCTATAGACACATGAATATGATTCAGTTAAATACAACACACAACTCAAAGACATAGGTCCCTTGTATAGCATTTAAAAAATATTTGAAGTAAATGTTGTTAGCGAGTACCTATCACACAAAAAGTAGTGATGGAAATACGTCGAGATACAGATATACACATATTTTTAAACATTGCCCAGGATTTATCAAGTGTATTTTAATCTCCACTTCAATTAAATGTTGTAGGCAATACTACAGTTAATCCTTAAAATTAAATTTACTGTGAAATATGAAGAAAATATCTATTTTTTCCTACTCAACAAAAATGTCAGAAGCATGAAGTTAACAAAAAGCTTGATTAATGTTACGTCCCTGCCAAATTTTGCCAATGAGATAATCAATATTCTTTCCATATTTTCCAGTTACATTTATTTTGTAGCATTTCCTACAACACAATTATTAGAATAGTGATTCAAGTATATGTGATCAATCATGTGCAACGTTTATTCTTTGCGTTATTGCTTAGTGTGTACATTATATATACTGTAGTTTAGTTCTTGCAAAAATGCATACACGATGAGCAATAAAACGCAGAAATTAAGATTGTAAAACATCTCCGTTTGTCTATTTGCATCTCATTATGTCAACACATTTCAACTTGTCTCTGCATCTGTTTTTCTCTGTAGCTCTGTCACCATTCTGTGCAAGTTGCAACACAGATAGAGACTTCTTTGAAGTAAATCAAACACATCTGTGCTTGCCAATAAACATTGCATATTATACAAAAAAAAATCTAAATTATCAAAACAAATTCATCTCATGTCGCCTAAATTGCAGCCTGCAATCTAGGCCAATCCAAAGTTATTTCTTTTGCTCATTTTGAGCAAATCTGACATTTTTTACCGGTTTAAACTCATGTTTAGCAAAATTTAAACCTAAACCGAACCTATCGAAGCTACTTTAAACCCTAACCGATTCAAGCTAATACACAGAACCCGACCTGCAACTGAAATGATTGTAAATATTTTTTATATCGGTTCCACTGTTTGGTACAAAGTGTCATGTAAATATGTACACAGCGTGCCTACATTTACCTTGCAATGTTGCGCTTACCTTCATAGGTGATTTTAAATGGTGGCTGTGTGTAACTAGGGTTGTAAAAGCGGATGTACAGGGAATTCCCAGTAGATAGGATGGGAGGCGGAACAATGGAGCCACTAAAGCGACCCAGGTATGGGGCGTCTAAAGATTCTCCATCATAGATGTCGAACGTGCTGTAATAGTACATGCTGTTAATAAAGAAAGGAAAACATTTTGTTAAGTCTTGATCTACATGACAGATGCCTCCCAATCATTGATGGGCATGTGGCACTGAGCCAGTGATGTGAATTTCACAATCCTCCATGCATCAAACACTGATAACATCTTAAAATATAATATTAATTACAATGATAGGTCCCAGCTGAAGCACATTTATCGCGTGTTGCTTAGGTTCACGGTCTTACCCCATGGCTGACCTGGTTAATACTGTGGATGAATTAACTATAAATACATGGTAACTGCTTTACAGTGGACATACAGATCCCATGCCGTTCTTTAAAAAAAGAGTAAGCCTTTTATATGGCATCGTGGTCCAAATTTGACAATTACTCGCAAGTTACTTAATTAGAAACCAAAATTTCCCTGCCTGCAATAGCTTTCTGAAAAATAGTCTTCAGACGGTAAGGCTTTCATGGGTAAACAAATATAATAATCATATTTGTAATTGGCAGTGTAGTATTTATTGTTCCATATATCTTCACTTTCATAATCTATATATAAAAGGGAAATTTGTGAATTTGTGTGTCTGTTCGAAATGTTTAGCACACTTCCCAACATGTAACAAACGTTAAATTTGGCATGTGGGTAGCTTCCAGACTGTACACAATGCTAAAAAGTATAAAAATATACTTTAGTATTTTGGGGGTGGGCACAATAACGGATATATTTTGCATGGCAAATGAGCGGTGACGTCACATCTGTGATGTCACCCACATGCGGCAGCGTCACACAGTGTGCCTGCTGATGTCATGCATCCCCCCCCCCCATACTCTGCGTAGGCAGTGTATTAATCCAAGACAATAATCCAAGTCTCGGGCGAAGCCAGGTAGTAAAGCTAGTTTGGAATAAAATGTAACTTATATTTTCTCCTGCATGGTGGTAGAAGAACTAAAAATAGCCAAGGTTGTAAATACAATTGTTACCTTTTTAAGGCTTGATCTTTGTTTTTGGCAGTAAAAAATATTTGAAAAACTGCAAGTACAATTTGGTGTTGTGCTCATGACTGAATCTAAATCAATTGTATATCCAGTGTTTAGTTTGTGTTCTGCGATAAGTGACCGGTTAATTACGTTTTCTGAACGCTGCATCTTAGTCGTCTTCCTTTATCATCAATATATTGCTCCTTACAAGTGTCCTATTTCATGGCATAGATAACACTACTCTTTTCTTTGCATGGCATTGGATCCTAGCATGGAAAAGTAAAGTTCACAATGTTTATGGGTTTATAGCATACTTTAATTTTGTATTAGTGAACTATGTGTTCAGTATCTGTGGCGAGGTATTGTGCACCAGCCAAGGACTAGTTGGGTTGCTCTTGCTTCAAATTCCATGTTAATATTGTCTGTAGAATCTTGAACATTACTGCTTCCATTCTAAGTAATAATGGTCTTTTCAGGGCTGAGTAAAATGAATGGGGGTAACCATTGTTTTTAAGCAAATTTTCACAGTTCTATTTAAGCATTCACTCATTCACTAATTTTTTGTTATTCAGCCATGTACTTGCTGCTATGAATTTAATAATATATTTACCATTTAAACATTTAATGCTGGACTCTATTGATTTCTGTTTTCATGCTATATTGAAGTATGAGCAAAATAAATACATAATCTTGGAATTATTTTCTGTGAAATGAATGCCCTCTTGCAATAACAAATCCTGATTGCCCTACAATCCATCTCACTCCTGCAGAAGAACTGATTTCATCGTTTCAGCTCAACAGCAGTTATGCTTTTGGGCCTCACTCGGCTCATCCTTTGGCTGTCTTTCCTTCAATTGTGCCTGGTCCAATGCACTTTGACTTCTTAACAGCGAGTTCGATGTCTCTGTTTTGTTTCCTGATCCATGTGCTCCTCATTGTGGTTTTAAGCACCCTTCTTCGTGCACTTTACAGATTTATTTCTTATTTAATCAGTGCTGATGTTGTTTGACATCAACAGTAGTATGCACTAATTGAAACCCTTCTTGAAACCTATAGATATGCTGCTTCTCATTTTTTATTTCAGCTTTAAAAAGTGCTCCACATCAATTTTTCATCCCTGATTTGCCTAGTTATTAATCTATATTTGAAGTTATATAGCAGCAGCAACTGCAGCAGCAACTGCAGCAGCAACTGCAGCAGCACTAACTGCAGCAGCAGCAGCAACTGCAGCAGCAGCAGCAACTGCAGCAGCAGCAGCAACTGCAGCAGCAGCAACTGCAGCAGCAGCAGCAACTGCAGCAGCAGCAGCAACTGCAGCAGCAACTGCAGCAGCAGCAGCAACTGCAGCAGCAGCAACTGCAGCAGCAGCAACTGCAGCTCCCTTTGATGCTGTTAATCCTGCATAATGCACATGCATATGTAGTACTAATCACATTCCTGCATTTCCCATAAATATGCTAAATTCCTCACCTTACCATATTAATAAAAGGTGTGCCGTACTTGGCCCTTCCCCTCTTCAACCATTATATATACGGAGTGGTAGCTCTTGTAATCTCTCATTTACTTGATACAGCTGTCGTGGCTGTGACGGTTCCACCTGAAGACGGAAGCTTGTGTTGCCTCCGAAACGTCGTGAGAATTATTTTATTGTGTTTTATTTTTATTATTTTATTACTTCCCTTCTACGTGACTTTACCGAAAGAACCAAGAAGATGAATACAACAACAGTATCGCCATGAGCAGCATATGTGAATATCCTGCTTAATATTGTGATGCAGAGGTGCAGCAATGGCACAATGGTTAGTGCACTGCTATGCACCTGGTGACCCAAGTTCAAATCCTGGTTACCAATCCGTACTGGTCAAAACAACCCCCGTGATTGACATGGCATGGAGAAGCCAACAGCTGTAAATCATTATTACTATTGTAACCATTATTTAATTGTGAATCAAGCAACAGGACAACAATCATAAGTTGAAATACACTACTCACTTCAGTTCTTCAAAGGAGAGTTTGATGATTGTGCCGGCTGGGGTGTTGATGTTCCAACTGCAGCGGAAGTCATAGTCCGTGGCATTGGGGGATACGATTGACCCTTGCCATCCTGTCAAGTTGCCACTACATGGTGCAAAAACTGACGAGGAGAAGATGTGGGAGGGTTCAATAATTCCAATATAAACAGATATCTAAAATTTAAATTTCAATAAAACAGATGCTATGTCAATTGCATTGCATATTAAAACATTTTAATAACTGAAATATATGCACAAGGTGAAGATATGTTAGTTAGTGTATGCTCTAAATTCAGACACCAAGTGTGTGGTTCACATATTGGCTGAAGGAAATGAATTTCATCCATCTATGTGCAACTCTCAATTTTGCCCAAGAAAATAAGAAAAACGCTAATTCAGAGTTCTCTACCAGGTTTACCTGGCCTTCTACCGATATATACTGAGTTATGACTTGGTCTGTATTGAAATTCAACTGTAGTGCTACCTGTGTTAATATCGTCACTCAGTATGTATAACCATGTGAGGTCTGATCAAACTCACAGGATCTGATCCACATTTTTTCATGTATGGTTGTTGAGGCAAAATCAAATCCAGATTAGAAACTCAAATTTGTTTATATATTATGTTCTAAATTTAAATATAGTATTGTTTACTTCAGAACACGTATGTAAAATGTATAAAACATTTTCAGTAACCTTTAAATAGATAAAAGGGAATTCCTTAAGACATAAATTGTAGTTGGATATGTAGCTCAACGTGTATTATTTAGTAAAAGAAAGTAATTTTAATGATATTGTATATACATTTGTTTCCTGAGCCAGATATTGAACCTTTATATTTTTAGTTTCAAGACATGGTTTTAAACTTTCTTAAACAGCGTTATTGCCCAGGTAACTGTAATTGTAACCACATTGATTTTATATCTTTATTACTATAGACAGTTTCGAAATGCAATTTTTCAGTTAAAGACATATCATGAAGCAAATTGTAGAGGTGACCATAATCATGTTTTGTTGTAAAATAAGAGTTAAATTAATGGAGTTAAAGAAACAAATAGGGAGCCCTAAAATCCATATTCGCTTATTAAACACGGATTTTAAAAAAATTCACCAGGTGTAAAAAATATATTTAGTCAGAAAATAATACAAAGCAAATTATTAAATGAGCAATATGAGGAAATAGTATGAACAATGCATAGGAGACAAAAAAAAGATACGAGAACTTAACAATTATGACAATGCTGCTTGTGGTGGTGATGATGATATGGACACTGTTGATGATGCTGATATTTACAGAAAGCCTTTGAGATAACCCCCCAACACCTCGAGTAGGACAAATCATCTTATGTCATCATCGTCATCACCAAAAGCATAATTATTGTTACTCGTATCATCACACCAACCCCCAATCTACCAAACTGACAAACTCCCATCTCATTGTGACCCACCAATCTCCACTGAATGTTGCTGCATCACCATTTAAAAAGGTCAATACAGTAAAATATTATATTATTATATATATTAAAATCTGCTTTGAGTTTGTATGCTCCGTACACAATACTGCATCTGTATTACATTTATAAATATTGTGTTAATCTTCAAAATAAGTTAAAAGCTTAATTTGGACAATATAAATATGTTTTTGAAATATGATTCACTACTATTTGTATACTTTTCGTTTTAAATCTTGCTACAATAAATGTATAGTGCTCTAACTTTGCAATTGTTACTTTTTTTAGTACCGTGAACTTTTTTTCTTTTTAGTGTATTTGTAGGTAGGCCAGATTGGTTGCTGTCTCATACTAAGCCCTGTCCAAGCAAATGCACCATCAATAGTAATATACACAAATACAATATTAATATGTATGTAGTGATTAAAGTCATATGTAAACGAACATACCTCTATATAAGAAATAAAAATATCCATACATGCCTTCGTTCTGCCAATCAGATGTGAACACAATCTTACTCTCACGAGACACAATTGTTTCAGGTGACCAGCTTTGGCAAAATTTAGATATGGATGTGCGGCTTCCATTTATAACATCACTAATCTCCAAACTGTCTGCGGTACAGTTTATGGAATTCTGCATTCTGTGAATAAAATGACAAGGAAACATGTATTTTGAATCCTGTAAATTTCTAACATGAGCAACCCACATGTCCTTTGGACGTGTCCATCCATATATCCCTCCCTTGCCAGCCAACCAATAAAACGTTTATCTTATCTAGAGTCTTGTCTCCCTCTGCCACTCTATTGCCTTCTCTGTACCGTATATCCCAATGTATCTCGATGTCTCGAGGTCCCATGATGTTTCTATCTGTTTCTCTATTCCTCTATCCCCTCTTCGACCTCTCCTCCCTCCACAATATCCCACCCACTTCCCTCCGCCCTATATCTCTCCCTCCTTCGATCTCGCACCGCTCCCTCTCCCATCTCAATCTGCTCTTGCCTCTCCCAAATCCTCCCTCCAACTGCTTGTCGCTTTCCCTTGCTCTCCTCTTTACGTTTTGGTCTCTTTCCTAACCGTCTCCTGCCCTTCCAATATCTCCCTGCCCCTCTCCTCTCCGTTCCTCTCTCTCTCTCTTCCTCCCTCCGCTAACTCCCTCCCACACCTCCCTCCATCGCAATTGCGCGGGATACACGACCAGAGTGGAATGCGGATGGGCGAAGGCGTGACACCCACCGCCTGGAACCCAGCCAGCCAAGAATCCAGCCAGGCAGGGTTGAACCCAGCCAATGTTTTCTTTTTCGAATATAGTATGATACGGTGGGTTTTATAAATGTAAAACACCTCTAAATTGCAAATAAAAGTAATATACCTGCAATTTATGTCATCACAAGGTGTTTATGCTGGTAAAAAACAAAGTACATCGAAAAAACTTTTGGGCACTTGAGATTATTTGAACTGCTAATTTATCACTCCAAGCTGCACTATTTATTTTTAGAAATAATCGTCTGAAATACAGCAGAACTCCCATAATCCACAGTGATACGGAGGGACGATATCACAGATTCTGTATCTGCAGCACACCAGTGGTAAGTCCTGTAATCCGATTTTAAAAAATGTCACGCCGACTTGCTGTACTGCTGATTACAGAAGTAATTAGCCACATAACTCCATTAATCTGCAAAAAAATTGGATTTGCAGGGGAAGTCCGGGCAAATAATTAGTGGTTAAAGTAATCTGCGAAAAATTCACGGTTTACAATATTATGCAATTTTTAAGATAACTTGTGCAATTCTGTCATATTGGTTAATGTTAAAGGTTTTCTTTTTTTATTTTGTTTGCATTGACAAGTTTAAAATATACTGAACAAACGTTTACAAACGTTTACTAAGCAAATTGCATCAGCACAGAAAGTATTTGACAATTATGAGATGGTTGATAAAAAAATGATTGTAAATAAACATACCCATATAAGTAGCCGGACATCGCAATTTTCGAATCACCGTGTAAATCAAAGCTCCATTCGCAGTGTGAGTTGTAGCTGTAGTCATTTGGGTAGTTTGGAGAGTAAACATAGTCATACGAAGGACCCTTCAAGACTCCTCCGCAGCCAGGAACGTCATCTTTTGTGGAACAAATATGAATCAGCCAGGTAACACTTAAGATACATCACTACTTTGTCATCAGTGTTAAATTATTTTGAAAAAACTTTTGTTGAATCGAACTTAAACAAATATAATACAATACTTACTTGGACTTATTGCAGTAAAGTTTCCAATGATCAGATTCCCAACGCAGCGGTTTGGAACTTTGACAGTCAGTGTATTATGGGATGAATAGTATGTATACTGTTCATTAGCTCTGTAATTGGTAGTGATCTGTTTAACTATATTATATTTAATTTCATAAATGGAAAAACAGTAAGCATTGTTGTTTCTGAAACAAAAAAAAACATTACATACAGACATTTGGGATAGGTAGACATTTTAAGTAGACCTACAGATAGGTTTATTATAAAATGGCGTGATTACTTTTTAGAGAATATGGGATTTTAAATTATTCTCACTGGTTGAATTGAGACATAAAAGCTAAGGGGAATAAAGACCAGTAAAATTATAATTACCCACTTTAGAAATTATGTGAGTGTGCATTAAGGAATAAATATTAAGGAATAAATATTAATATGCATTCACTTTATGAAACAAAATCAAATACAGACATGGATAATACAAAGATGGCAACATTAGTTAAATCAGTCGCAGGCTTCATCAGACGTACAATTATTGAGATATTCCACAATATTTTGATAATTATTCAATATTTTAAATACTGGGCAACTAAATTGGACCTATATCATTATTTTATTTATTTGTATTTACTTGCTTACCCTTTCATCTATTTTGCACTCCTATCGTTTTTTGTATTGTTTGATGCTGTAACTTGCTGACATCTGTCAAAAAGAGCTTCATAGCTCATCGGTTTCGACTCGGGCCAATGAGGAGACGGGCGATGTTTCATTCCCAAAATGGAACTGGGGGAGGGTGGCTCCATTCATAAAATGGAAGCCTTTAAAAGATAAAAGCGGATCTTTTTGCCTCGTGTTTCTTTCAACATTCCCAGCCTTAAGGTGATTCAGTTTGTCCAAAAAAGCAAATGTATTCCTTGTAAAAGATAAAACAAATAAATGCATTTCTAGGTTAACATGAAGCATATAAATAACCCCCCCCCCCTCCCCCAATAAAAAAATACTTTACGGAGTATTATATGACAATGCATATTACAGGTAGAAACAACAGGTTCCACACTGCCCACCAGGGATCATTTGTCTGTCTGTCTGTCGTGCATATTTGTCTGTCGTGCACGAATGCGCTGTCCAACCAAGTTCCTACCTGCTCACTCCGAAGGAACGTGTTACGTCACTGACAAACCACAATCCACTCCGCCTCAAATAAATATTGCTTAAAGTGAGTGTTGGAACCACAACATTCTACACTTGAGGGCTTGGCCACTCACAGGAGTGCAGAATGGGTGTGGCGACCTATTCTGCGCTATTCATATGGTACTTTCTGATGTGTGGTACACGGAAAACATTGCTGAGAACTCGCCAACAAATGGTTTCACACACAAATTTAGGAGGGTGATGATGCTTCTGTTGCTGTTTAACACACAGGCTTTTGCGACCAACATTATTAATAATATTAGTTTTTGGGTTAGATCGCGTAAATACGTGTCGTAAACACGCCACCATCCGACACAGCCAAATTTGTAAGGTTTGTCACGTAAACAAAGCGTGCCAATGTTTTACTACTTCAGAGAGTAAACCCACGACATTTACAATTTGAGTACGTTTCACTGGTGATTACAACCGGTTTCATCAGGCAATTTGCCAGTCGGGTGGTGGTAGGTTAACGACAATTATATTTAGAGGTGACAGTACCCAAACTTTACTCCCAACACACAACCTTTCATTCTTCTCTAATTAAAACATGAATGCCTGCCAAGCATGTGTGGTACAGTATGAGATTGCCTTATATAATTCTTTTATTTATTTATATTTACTTGCTTACCCTTTTCTCTATTTTGCACTCCAATTGGTTTTATTTATTGTTTGCTGTTGTAACTTGCTGACCCCGTGCCCATACATTTTACAATGTAAAAGTCATGCAATCAGGCGAAAGATGCCGTTTGATGACTGCAGCGTAAAAGAGAAAAGTCATAAGGCAGTAATGCTGGCAGACACCAAGTTTTAATTATGGAACTAAATGCAAATAATTTTAAAGACAGCATTTGCCCCTTTCATTTGCATTTGAAAACATGTTTATTTAATTAAGATGTGAATTGCATGATGTGGAAAAATATACATCAAATGCAGAAGAATGTTGATCACACTGTATAACTCACCCTTCCGTGTTCAGTTTCAATTTTATGATCTTCCCGAGAGGTGCAGTTATTTCCCAAAAGCAGGAAGCGTCACTGTTCTGAGGAGCCAATTCATACTTAATGGTACCATTCGCACCCTCGAGAGCAAACACGCACAATTCCGCTGAAAAGAAAGTAATGATTTCAAAAATATATAATTCAGCTCATCATAAACACACACAAATACCTTTCTTATAGTTATACATTTGTAATATCAACATGAAATGCCAAGTGAAGCTAGCATATATCATAAAATAAACAGAACGATTTCAAACGATATTAGAAAACGTTTTCTGGCTGGATTCCTGGATGGATTCCTGTCTGCCTGGCACGTGGGCAAGTGCGTACACACGCTGGGGATGTCACCACACACACATCTGCGTGATGACGGCACCCGCATTTCACAGCGTTGAGCCGGGTTCGTGCGTGCTGACATCATGCCTCCCCCCACCCACCCTCCACACTACGACCATAATGTATCACCACCCAAAGATTATACTCTCCATGAAAAAAATGTATTTCTGTCTGGCTTTCTGCCTGTATTCATAGCTAGCTGGCTGGCATGTGTGGATCTCGCACAGATACACTTTACTATCGAATACCAAATTTATGGAATGTTATGTGCGAGTTCTTTAATTGTACTCTTAATTATAGACTTCAGTGGTCTTACTTTCAACGGAATTTCTTGAAATAGAAATAGAAAGAGAAGAAAATGGTCCCGATTCAGACTCGATAGCCATTCTGTTATTAATTTATTTAGAATATTATTAGAAGTTATGAATCTATTTTATTCACAAGAAAATCAAGTATTGTTTCAACCACTTTGGTCAATCGGAGGAAGGCCTAATGCTGATTTTAAAATAAACACACAAAACAGAGCTAAGGGTCTAAAAAAAAGACAAACAAATTTACTCAAAAACAATACGAACAACTTTGAATGGCAAGTTCAAGAAGTCATTGCCAACACGATTAATACCACCACAGTTTATCATCGCTGCTGCTAGATTGCGCAACTATTGCACAGTTGACAATACTTCCATGGTCTGTGCTCGCATTATCCAATTACACTGGAATTCAACAATTTGCTCCATTGTATTTCTCTGTGTAAAAAAACGTCTTCAATCGTTTTTCTTCTCCAGAAGACACTACCACCAATCCCCATTTAACATTACGTAATACGCTCTCAACCAATAACAACCCAAACGACAGGACATACATGCCGAGCTTATTGGTAAAAATGTTTATATCACAATCTGAAAAAAACATTACCTGGCGAACTTAGACAGGCGTTTTCCGAAATGTGGACTTTGTCAATCCCAATGAGAGCACCACGGTTGTAGCTGTGTGCTTGAAATGCTACCTGCAATCAGCGTAAACAAATATTAAGCTTTTTACTGCATGTAATATTCCAATCTTAAGGCAAAAATTGCAAATAAACAAGCATTTGCAGTTCCCTTTAAGTTCGGTAGTACATACAGTATACTGTAGTAATACACAGGCATACCTCAATTTATTAATGAGATTATAAATAATGAAATTGTTATAACTTGTTGAACAATGGTTCATCTTTAATTGATCCAAAAATAGCGAGCCAAACCATTTCACACCGTCATTCCTTACAATTTTGATGGTAAAATGAATACTTTCCCTTAAGTTAATGACAGTTCTGCATTCTGAAATTCATGAGTGCCATTTTTTCCACTTTACGTTTCAGTCCACTCACCAAAATGGGACATGGTGGGCGGAGTTAATGGCGGAGCCAAACAATTGCAAAACATGTTAAGTTAATAGCCAGGGAATCTGTGACTGCAAAGTTTGTGAATGACATTAATTTCCTGGGCGAAGTTTGATACCTGCTATCCAGTCAGCATTGTGTGAAATGGGAAGGTCAAATTTACTATATCTCTCATTGCCACAGTTATTAAGGTTTTCTCATAGTAAATGTTGCGTTTTGACACCTCAAAATGTTTAGTCTATTGCATATGACCTTAAATATTGCCTTGACACTTTACCTTGTTTAATGTGTCTGGGAATAATAATAGGGGTTTTTCCCTTTTTTCTGGCAACAAAACTGAAACCTGTTTACAAGGAATCATGTCTGCATTAACCACAATACTTGTGGTCAGAATGCAAACAAAAACATACTCTGATAATATATGCATTGTCTTTGAAACTGATTGATCCACACCAGAGACAGCTTTCTTTTGAGCCTCGTCTCAAACGGTGTTAGACCAGAGGACGCCAAAAGGCGTACAGCTCAAAGACAATGCACTGGGGATGTTTGAACATCATTTCATAAGAAATGAGGGAATGCTGGTATATGGTTGAATAAGCGTGTATTGTTTATTTACTCTCTAAATGTATAGATTGCTTCCCTTATCTAAAAAAAAGTGTTTTACTATCCCAGAGTGACCTGCGTTGATATGCATGGTCTTCATGTCTGTTATGTTTTTCAGATCATTGCATGATCATTATAACATATTATATTACCTGTGTGACATTGGCTGTAATACTAATAGCCACGTCTTGCCATTGTTGTCCATAATGGTCAAGTATATCAAACATCGTGGGCTCCCAGAGCACAGGGATGGGGTTTTCTGAGTCTCCCACAGCACTGCCAATGGCAGACACATCCAAGAGTCTCAGGTTTAAACTGTTGCCAGCCATGTATTTAAAGTGAAGGCAGCGAGTGCTGTTTGATGGAATAATTTGAGGTCCTAATAGGTAACTGCTCATTTCAGGGACATCATCTGGGAGATATGAAGTTCTGATGGCAGCAAAAGGTCCTCCATCTGCACAAGAAAATTAATACAATCATTATTTTGATTAATATTCCCATACAAAGAAGCATTGCATTTACTTACAAGATAAAACAAATACGAGAGAATATGCAGTCAATGACTAGAATTGTAGGGTGCCCATGTCATGATATGACACTGGCAACACAATTAGGATTACATTGGGGGTAAATTACATAGATTTTAGATTTTTTTTATCCCATCTGCTGATTCCATCTTTCTTCATTTGGGTTACCATTTGTGAATTTAAAGTCATCAAACTTCTTGCTGCTTTCATGCTTTAATTGCTGCCAATGACATCTTCTATCATTTTAGTTTTCTCTGGTTATTTTATTTCTCATATAATTGTTTAACAGAGTTCAGTGTATTGGATTACACCCTTTGTTTTGCATCTCTATCTCTTTAATATTAACCTTCCCCAAAACGTATTTGATTTTTCAGACTGTGCTAGATAATGGATTAAATAAAGTGGTGAAATTAATTTCATGAATTGTTCCTCTCGGCATTTCAATCTGTTTTGTTTTTGTTTAGCCTAAAATATGATTACTGTTGGTCTATATTTTTGATACTATAGTAGACTCTTGATTATCCACGCGAATGACGGGGAGGACGGCCACAGATTATAAAAAATCGCGGATAATCCAAAAATAATGAAAACTCTACCCACTGTTGTAAAAATATGCAACTGCTGTACTGTAGAGGTGATCACGTGGATTTCGGATTAACCAGAGCAGATATTTGTTCGGTTTAAGCACGTGACTTGTAATAAACATTTCCTAGAATAACAATGTATATCTGTTTTTTAGATTATAAATTTGTGCTTACTGTAAAATCCATGAGTTATAAATTTACGTCAAAATCTCAGGTGGGCGGTTAATCCGCAAATTGGATAAACCGCACGTGGATAATAGAAAGTCTACTTATCTTACATTTTTATTTTTATTAGCTTCACCCTCTCTTTGACTATGTTGGCATGTAACTTGCATTGCATCAGTCTGTGGCCACTTCCTGTGTTCAATTTGTTAAGGTCAGGAACATCTCTGACAGTCTGCAGTTTGTTTGATAAAATCAAGTCAACCCTTTCTTAATTTGACCGTTTGGGCTTCTCCACATACAATTTTATTGTAAATTAATTATTTGTGTTTTTTCCCGGCTATGACCTCTCACATTTCTCATCTCTGCAACTTTTCACTACTTTTTCACTAAATTCACCGATACAAGTGGAGTGGTTTAACACGCGCCAAGGGGGGTAATTGTACACACGTGCGGGTTGGGAACAGTGGGGTCGAATCGGGACATGCTGCTGTTGTCGGGGGCCAACGAGTGAGTCGGAGACGGCCCGTTAGGCAATTATGGATGTAGGGCAGTGATTGGCCGGTTGTTGTTGTTGGGTACAAGGTGGCGCCTCCAAGTCTGAGAATAGAGACAGGTGGCAGCGGGGGCGGGGGGGCAACTAATTAATTGGAAATTAATAAGGACGGGGATAAATAGAGGGGCGTCAGATAGAGAAGGGGAGTTGAGTTGGGGGTTGGAGTGGAGTTGAGTGGAGTTGTGCCTGGGAGCTGGACGGAGACGGTCGGAGCAGAGGAGAAGAAAAAGAAGAGTATAGAGTAGCAGTGGAGTGGAAGAAGCGTATAGAGTAGCAGTGCAGTAGAAGAAGAGTATAGGGTAGTAGCAGAGACGGAGAAACCGTGAGAGCGGCTGGAGTGAGACGGAGAAGCCACGAGAGAGCGGCTGGAGTGAGACGGAGAAGCCACGAGAGAGCGGCTGGAGTGAGACGGAGAAGCCACGAGAGAGCGGCTGCAGTGTGATAGAGAAACCGAGAGGTGGAGTCGGGAGAGACGGGGAGAGAGGAGGATCGGGCTGAGCGAGGCCGGCGGAGTGCGGCGAGCGAGCGGAGATCGCGCTGGAGAATGGTGGCAAAATGTGCTGTGTTGGTAAAATAAAAGGACGACAGAAAAGCAAGAAGTTGTCCGTGTGAAGTTCAGCACTACACAAGTATTAGGTGATCTGTCTACTTACCCGAAGAAGGATTGTAGTAGTTGGTGTTGTACAAGTCCCAATTAATTACATCTCCAGATGAGGGTGTCCATCCACAAAAGTTTCCATTGAAATCACAGTCAAATGAATCGTCTTTAACTAAAAGGAGTGGAGAACCAAATGTCATTGTAAAAACAAACATGCTCTTAATGCACAATATAACGTGGAATTTTGTCAAGGTCACGTTAACAAGATCCTATATAAAGAATGTGTAAAGAAATCAAACATAATTCAGGTTTGAACCATTAATCATAAACAACACTGGTTAAAATCGATTTTTTTAAAGGCAACACAATACACATTTTTTGCCAAAGTAATTAAATAATGTATTGATCCCATTTCAACTCGCGTAATATAATATGACAATATTTTATTCTGAAATAATTGTGACAAAGATACGGACCAATTGCCCATATCTTATAGACAGTAATATTGCCTTTGAATAGGAATGCTCTGAAAAAGCATTAGAATGACAGCTAGTTTATATTCATATCCATAGTCCCAGTCTTTTACTCCCAGCTTTACACACTACCATCACTAAGAAATTTGACTAAGGCCTGCTTACTCCCATCACTTGGAAATTTGCTGTGCATTGTTTCGAGCGTGCAAGCTTAGTTCCCCCAGCAGCTCCAATTTACTCCCCTGCAGCATAACAAAGGATGTCATTAATCGGCTTAACTTAGCTTTCTTATCAACCAGCTCAACTTCCGTCCCCTGCATCATAAAGCTTTAGTTTGAACTCCATGCACACCTCCCAGCCCACACCCCGCCCCCACACTCACCCCCCCTCCCCGCAGCTATATAATCCCTCATCACAGCCATATCTTAGGCATACTTAAGCGGTTGTTCTTTCGCTGTGTTTGTCTGCAGGACTAACAAACCCGAACACCCCCCACGCAGTTATTTACACAGTTGTTTGAGTTTATAAGGACCGGGCCTCAGAGGTTGTTCTAGCTCAGGAGTAGGCAACCAAAATATCAACGAGAGACAATGTTTTTAGAATTCGGTAAAAAACGTTCAAGAGCCACAATTCACGTGAATACGAGACGGTCCTTGATAAACGAAACAGTCCTTAATGCAGACATAATTCCTAGTAAAAAGCTTTCAGTTTTGTTGCCAGAAAAAAGGGGAAAACCCTATTCTTATATTTTGGTACTGGCAAAGGAGGTCCCATGATCTAGATGCACATATTTTGACTGTAATGTGAGCACCCTCCCATGTCACACTCTTACCTCCTAAATATGACATTATTCCTGTAATAAGAGATATATAGCCCCAGTCCCTATGTTATCCATACCTACAGCATTGTAGTCAGCTGAGATATAGATTCCATAGAAGGAGATAAGCATGCTGTTTCCAGTTGATGCGATAAAAGAAGATGTCTGCTGCCCCCAGTAATATTTTTGTGCAATAATTGATTGCAGTTCAGACTCCCCATCGTAGACCACCAGGTTGCTGTAACTTTGGCTGAAAAAGAACGTTAACTTAATTAGTATTGACAGTTATTATTAAAATATGCATATATATTTATGGCACAGTATGGATATCATTGTCATCTTGAGGAACATTATTGATAAAACGTAACCATTTTGTTGAAATGAGAACATTTCACAATGAAGATCTCATTTCTGCTGCTGTTGCTTTTCTCATTTTTATGACAGTATTCTTTTCGATGTTTTATATATGTAATTTTAACTCTTTGGTGTGATGGATGTTATTTAAATTAAGTGTATTCGTTGTAATACGGTAATACTAGTTATACTAATAATACAAATTAGTAAATATAAAATGGGTATTTCATTCCAATGTGTTTATGTCTTTGGTCTGTTCCAACCTTAACAGGTGCTTGCTAACAATACTTGTCCCAACAGCCTATGCAGGCTCTATGGGGGACCTTCATCATTCTTTTGCCACCTCCCCTTTGGCTAATTACTAGCGAAAAACATAACTCCTCTTATCTGCTGCCAAATTATACGTGACTCCTATCATTCACACCAGCTTCAAGGTTAGTGAAAATTTATATTATCCGTGGGCCCAATTCTTCCTATTATCCGTGATTATCTGGAATTTTTGTCGAAAAATGTAGCAAAACAGCATTGTATTATCTGCTGATTTTCATTGGTAAGAGCAGTCATGTACTAAATACATTCGACTATCTGTGGTTTATTCACTTTTTTCAGTAAAATGTGCTTTGATCAAAGCATTAGGGTGTGAGGTGTACTCAAATATTTGCTACGAAAGCATACGTCCTTTGGTTGCTGAGCATATTACAGATCAGCCACAGCATTTGGGCACATATAGTAGGTTTCTAGTCAGCTTCAGTATTAGATCTTGGTTTCAAACTAACTGTATTAATGCAACCATTGCACAACTTCAGCCAGTGAAAATTTTTGAATGCACGTTTGTGTAAGTATGTACCACAAAAAACATCGGGAAAATGGCCCCTCCCCAACATCAACAGGTGGAAGTGTTATTTGCAAAGGGGCGTTACTGCAATTGGAATTGCGGATATTTTCATAAACATAATCTAAATGGGAATGTTATACTTTTCTCTCCTTAAGATTTATCTTCTTCCCCTTATCGTCACATTTGTTAGTTTTTGTTAGTTTGATAATTTTTGAGCATTAAAATATGCAGAGCAACCATTTTGACGTAAGTAAATGTTATCAGCTAGTTGAGAAAATGATATCAACAGCACAAATGCTCAAACCAGAGGCGATGGCTTTCACAAACCACAACGGCTACAGCAACACCAAAAATTCCCCAGGGTGGCAAAAGTAATGGTCTTAATAAATATCTATCAAATCTTATATGATTTCACCCTCTGCCCTTTATAGTTTTAGTAGATTTAACTCAATTTTTTGTTGGCAGTTGCAGATTAACCATGTAGGTTAACTTGTCAGGCATATGTGACTCAGTAGAAATGTGACTGCAAACTTTTCAACAAAAATAGATTACTTTATGAAGCAATACAATTTATGACACAAATTCTATGTTTGCAGCAACATTCTGGTTTTACCAGCTGTCTAATTTTGCAACATTGCAAAATCAAAGTTTGTCAAGATCTCAAACAATATGAGATTGTGGCAGTAACAATTTCACACTTTGTTAAGTTTAAAATGAATTGTCCATCCCTTATCTGGCTATTGCCTATCTCATCTGTAATGTTTTATACGGTCAATTGTATCTGTTCTATCTCGTTGTACTTTCCTGTCTGTATTGTAGATCTCATTTACACCGTCTAGGCTCATTCTGACCATTAGTTTAAATGTAACATCTTCATATCATTGTCGTAAATTGAAAATAATATAAGCTAACGTACCTCATGGGCATAATAACATATTTTCATTGCTGAATGGTTTCATGTGTAATGATTTAGTCAGAAGACATACGTAAACAACCTTTCACTGAAAATATCCATTGTATGCTAAAAATAATGTTAAAACCCCCATAATACTTAAAGTTATAACCTCTTAACAGTTAGAGTTTTTAGAGACCCCACCTCTCACCTGGACATAGAAACGTTGATTTGGACAGTACTCCCTTCTGGAACTTTAATTATCCAAATGCAACTCTGCGCATTATAGCCACTGTAGCTGAGGTTTCCATGTGAGCTTTCCAGGATTCCTCCGCAGATAGCATTGGGTGAGTCCGCTTTAAACACATGTACACAAATAGACATACATGGTTATCACATACAAGCCACATAGTACCAATGTATAGAACATACTTTTATGAAATTGTTGTACCCTTGTTGATTTTTTAAAAGTTACTTATACAAATTTATTGTTAGAAAAATCCTTCAAGTGGAATATTTTATTTTCAAGGGTGTCAAGGGCATCAACTGTCACATATATAGGACACATATACAGTAATGACATGTAAACAAACATTGAAGTGTATAACATATACAGCATGCAATTATCCAATGAACATTACACCCATCCAAACACGTATATAAATACACCAAAACCTTGCCAATTGCGAGGGAAGGGGGGTTACGTTCTTGAAAATAGACTCAATCGGCAAATCCGCGATCCATAAACCTAAAGGCAAATGGGAAAACGAGGGTTTGGTTCCCGGTTCGAAATACGATACCAGTCCTTTTGTTTTATGTTACCCTACATGAACCCAAACATGTAACGAGAAGTATGTTATTCACTCACGTGTTAAATATAATTTGTACATACTCTTTGGTTCTTTCGGTGAAGTCACGTATATACCTACGTGACTTTACCGAAAGAACTAAAGAGTATGGATTCCTGCAGTCACGAAAGCTTCAAATCATAATTTGTACAGTAAATGTATAAAAGGAAAAATAAATGGAGTGTACAGTACATGTATACGTAAACCTGAAAATAAAGACAAGTTTAATGACATGTACAGTTAAAAAAAGAACAAACTACGAGCCCGTTCCCGCACATTATACCACAATAAAAATCAATATAAAAAAAACTAACTAAAAATGTTTTACACGATTAATGATGATTATGTGTAGTGTCATAGCGCCGGCTGGTGACCAGCAGCAGCAACTGTGGTGGACGAGCAGTAAACACGCCGGTGAGCATATACACGGGTGTGTCAGCAGGGCTGAGGAACTGGGGCAAGGGTAATGGAGGGCCCCATCTGGAAGCCCCTGGAACCTGCTAGTGGGTTCGAGAAAGGAGGCACGGCCACGGCAGAGCCAGGCCGCGCTGGGAGCATAAAAGGGGCCAAGAGCGGGAGCTCGAGGCTGCCGGTTTTGGGATTGGATCGTCTCGTCGTTGCTGTCATCTTGTCGCCATCGTCGCTGCCGTCTTCACTCGATATTGCACTGCTAGATAGCTGTTGGCTGTCTCCGTCAGTGCCGTCGGTGTTAGACGGTTAGTGTTGTGTATAGGTTAGCGACTGTAGAGTGTGCAGGTGAGATAGTGTGTTTAATAAAGAAGGTGCCTCTACAAATCTCGTCTCTAAACTCACTGACATTACATGTGTATTCATCCGCAGCAGCATCATTGCGAGCAAAGTGCAGTTATAGTACATGTCTAGTACTGCCTTACGATGTGTATACTGTACAAGGAATATCGTGGTCAAACACGCGAATGGTCAGCCACAGGGGCGCGATCGGCGAACCGTACCTCAATAGATGATGTGCGAATGGTCCAATCTGTGTTGGGAAAACTCGCAATGGGCAAGGTTTTTTGTGTATATAAATAACTCAGTGTCGCACACCACAGGTTTATGTAGAATGCTCTTCTAGCTATAACAGTTGCCAATGTTGTGCAAGTATATTTTTTATGAGTGGTTTATATAATTTGAGACTGGCGGCATACTTTAGTCTGTCTGAAAAATCCTTCCATGTTGAAACAGTTCTGTGTCCATGTGTTTGGTACTCTAGGGACGATTAAATTGTTATAGTAACTGAAGAGCATAGTTATTGTTGAAGTAAAAGGATAGTAGGAGGGGGGCAAAAAATCCTTGGGAAAAAATTGCGGCTCTGGTGATGTAAGAGGTAGCCTAGCACTTTCCGAGCTCCCAAAGATGTGGTTGCCCACCTAAGGGACAACCCTTAGAGGGACAACCCGGAGCGCCAGACACTTTGCCCTTGCTCGATGGAGAATAGCCAGGCGACATGGTAAATAAAATGAGCAACACTTTGTAATACATCAACGATGTTAAGGGTATGGAGAAATTAGACCATACGATGGTCCGATTAGCACGGTTGTCTATGTATGGTGCGAAAAAGGTCAACATACATACGAGTTGGAATTTCTACCAGAAACAGAGATGAGTGCCACTATCATTCAAGTAATGGGACACGACAACTAACACTGCCTCTACACAATATGTTTGGTGCGACAAGCGTGGTGATTTTCTTACCGAAGTACGACAATGAAATGTAAAATCCCCTGCCGGTCCCGATGCCATCAGAGGAGAACTGCAAGCTTAGATTGCCAGTGGATTGAAAAGACTGGCGGGGCAGATACCCACAGAGGCGCACTAGCAGTGAGCTGTCGCCCTCAGATTCATCCATAACAGTAAGGCCATCGTATTTGCACCTTCTGCTGGAGCTGCGAGTGTTTCCTGGCTGATCAAGAACCCTGTGAGACACAAGCAAGTATCGATCCACCGTCTGAATAAGAAAGCCTCAAGGCTTGATAAATAGGCACAATCACAAATATATAACAGCTTCTGAAAGTAAAAAAATTCACACGTACATATTAATACAAACGATATCTCAAACCTTGTTAATCCATTCCTGAATGAAGGCCTCCCCATGCCATGTCAATCGTGAGGGGTTTTTATACACATGTAATCACTAATATTGGCGACAAACTGGAAATTGTATTTCAAAGCAGGAGATGTATGGTTTACAAGTAACTAAAAATAAGTCCTCTATTTATGTTGTTTCACGATAACGTCGCCAACGAATTAGGGAATATAATTTTATTTGAAATGCAATTATTCACTAAAACGTTTTGAACAATTTTAAGAACACAGTAGTTGGGCCACGGTGCACTCAAGCTTCTTAGCGTACATGGCAAGGCAATGTTCAATAATTCTTCCCAGGACCTTTCCTGGCACACTGAGGAGACAATTACTGTTATCCCCTTCTTAATAAAGGGGGACCTACAAGGGTATCAATCCAATGCTGCAGAACCCATCCTGTGGTCTAGGCAGATGTAATAACATAGAGGCAGTCTACACACAGTCACCACCCTCCTTGAACGGATCACTTGGAAGGTAATCTCTGCCTGGCACGTTGCCTGGTCTCAGGCTTTGGATCATGTTTTACATTTCCTTAGCAGGTGACACATCTGTTTGCAAAACAATCTCTTTGCACAGGAACTCAATTCTCTCTTGATACTGAAATATTGGACCACCAGCGCTCAAGCGAGCCTGACCTGGTGTGTGTACTCTTAGGTTTTTTCGGTAAAGTCACGTAGGTAAAAATAATAATAAAATAAAATAAAAATAAATGAAAATTATTTAATTAAATCACGACGTTTCGGAGGCAACACAAGTCTCCGTCTTCAGGTGGGACCGTCACAGCCAAATTTACTGTATCAACTGGTGTGTGTATATGTACACACGTGTTTGTGTATGCACACACATACATGTGCACTCGTGTGCGTGTGTGCACTCGTGTGTGTCAGAAGCAGTAGTGTAGCGGTTAGCGAGCTGTGCTACAAACCCGGCGACCCGAGTTCGATTCCTGCTGATGGCCACCAACACTGGTGACGATTATCTGAACCGGTCCTGGGCAACCCATAGGTCGACTCAGCCTCAAATTAGTAACTGGTGCAGTGTGTAAATATCGCCACAGGGGAGACAAAGGCGGCCGGGAGTGGTTCTGGCCACCCACCCCCTCGTGTGCCGTGCCGGCTTTCATACGTGTTAATCGCTAATAGCACTTGCCCCAACCGTGTTACAGGCTATACGGGAGATCTTTGTATTTGTGTATGTACACTTGTGTGTGTGTATGTACACACATGTCACTATTTTTCAGGCTCAGCAATCCAAGCAGAGCTAACCCTACCTTGTCAAATGCTGTTATCATAGAAATTCTCAGCAAAACTGCAAACCTGTTCTTAACGGGCCAGAGGTCAGGTCACCACTTTCCTGGTAAGAGGTGTGGTGTAGCAAGTCACTTTTTTGATGGAATTATTTTTTGTGAGCACAAATCATACTCGGGTGACCAGTCCACCAAGTTTGTAGCGCAATTCGATAAACACTGCATTACTGCTCCACAACACACCACAGACAAAGATCCCCACTATAGCCTTTAACAGACTGTTGAGGCAAGTGCTGTTAGCAAGCACCAATGAAGGCCGGCATGCACACAAGGGAGTGGATGGCAAGAACGATGCTTGGCCATCTTTGTCTCCGCAGTGCTGATGTGAACACATCATACCAGGTACCCATTTAAGGCTGAGTCAACCTAGACACATACCCAATCTATATGTATAAAAGTCTAAAATTGTGGCGGGGTTTGTGGGTTTGTGTGTGGTCGCGCGCTTGGCTCTCCAACGGTGGGGTTCACGTAAAAAATTGCCAGGCACCACGCTGTAAGCCCCGCGGTGAGCAAGTGCTATTCCTTTTTCACATCTGTCAACTTTTAATTAGTTTAATTAGCGTTTTTGTGCGCTTCCCTTTTATGTATTTATGACGCATGCACGACCATACCAACTCACGCACCTTTGGTGGGGGGGGGGGGGCATGCCAAGTCGCACGCCTTCGGTGGGAGTGAGGGGGACATTTTCTTTCCCGTTAAAAATGCTAAAAAAATACACTGAATGCTTAGGTAAATTCTTCACTGTGTGACGTCCCCCCCACCCCGATGCGTGCAGTTACTATTATGTACAGTCGCTAGATGCTACCACTATAGTCCTTAGATATTACTGCAGATCGGCGGGGGAGATCGTGGCTGCGGGGTGGGTAGGGGTAGCAGCCCAGTCCCAGCCTGCCAAGGTGCCACCTCGGCCGGCTGAACAATCTCGGCGAGGCCGGAGGCTCTGCACGGGACTAGGCCTCACCACGCCACTCTGTCAGGTGAGTACTTTGTGCTATACAGTCAATAAATACTGCTATAGAGTCAGCATGTACTACTGTAGTGATAGCAGGTACCACCACAGTCGGTATTCACTGCTATAATTATAGCAGGTACCACCACAGTCAGTACGCACTGCTGTTAGATTTTTAAGAGTAGCAGGAACGCTAGTATTACATAAAAGACAAAATACCCCTGTGAGCTTTTAACAGACATCCAGCAGTGATTAGACAATACCTGGTGATGGCATTAAAAGGTACAATTATGCAAAAATGGTTATTCAAGTATTAGAAATGTTTGTACATGTCTAAAAATTCAAGTGCAATACTCACTGAAAATCATTAATGTAGAGCTGAATTTTGTATCCAGGTGGGGCATATGCTTCCCAGGTGCAGCTGGCATTGTTGCTGTAGTTGTTTGGATAGTTTGGAGATGTCACAATCTGATTAGCGCTGAGCCTCCCACCACACCCAGAAGAAGCTGTGTAAGGCATGTGCAAATTTATACCAATCAATACAGAAATTGTTACTACAATATATATTTAACAGAAATTAGTTTGTTGTAAAATATTTACAATATCACTTTTTGAAGTCTATTCGATAGGGCCTACCACTATATGGTTAATAGGCCTTCAGGTTCAATAGTATGCTATTAAAATAAAAAAAAATACCGATATCACATTACAGCATTCCTATGTTACAACCTGATTCTTAATGGAATGTTAGCTCCACAGTTTTCTCATTAACTCTTGGCTGTAATCTCCAGGAATGAACTGTTGTGAATTAATCAAACTTTTTTTTGCTTTAATGTAAAATGGCACCAGTTGTATTACATTTACTACTAGAAAATATTAATTATCTTAAGCATAACAGAGCAATATAGTACTATATTATTCATGTTGTCTTTCCGCCAGTTGGCTATGTATAGTGCGAAAGCAGTTCAACATACATCTTTGAACTTTAACACGTTAAATATTTTCTCTATGATTTACAATAAAATATTTTTTTAATTAATAAGTTAGATGGTACATTCTCACCGGGGGACGCAAAGAATGACACGGAGATATAAGAGTATGAGCTGGAAAGATGCTTGTAGTATAGTGACAGGGAGGAGTTTGTTGAAATGAAGTTTGTGGTAGATCTGCAGGAGTAGGTGCCCAGGATTGGTGCCTGGTCGTTCGCTCCATCATACACAACCACCATGGTGTCATTTCCCTCGCAGTAGGAATAGCTGAGGACAACAATACAAAAAAGGAATTAGATGTCATGGACTCTCCATTTACACAACAGCCTGAGTATTGCTGTGTCTCCGTCTTAATTATTAACCACTGTACTAAATCAAAATGGCTTAGTATAAATAATTGCATGTGTCCCGTGGAGCCCCTCGAGGTGGCCTGATCTAAGTGTATCTCGTGTGATGCTTGGGGTCACGGTTTCAAGCTTGCGACACAATGAGGTGAAGGAGGGCCGCTCATGTTGCACACTAACTAGTCTAGGTTGCCCATCACTGAGCTAGGTGGATTGTAACATTATTAGACCTTGAAAAACGGCTATGTTGTGGGGAGGCCTTCAACCAGCAGTGGATAAATATTGGCTGATGATAACAGGGGTACATTCCATCATCGATATAACTATAGTATACATTATTTCACATATCCTGCCTATCTTAGTCTGATTTACTTACGAGTTACTCATGTAAAGGCTGACCACCTCATCGTCTTCCACAACAAATGTATGCAGGCAGTTTTGGGACAGGTAAATCCTACTCCCACTTCCACGGAAGGAGTATCTGCAGGAGTCGGCGCTGTAGAACTCCGATCCTGGCTCCAACCAAATGCATTCTCCACCAGCTGAAATACATCCACAAAGCCCATTTCAATGTGGTTCTCATAGTAATCTTATGAAGAAAGTTTGATAGCTGTACATTATGTGTGACATGATCGCTGAAGATATGGTTGCTAGGCTATTCTCTTCCTACTTTTTTTTCAACAAGTTGTTTTGTATGTACGTTGAACGTCTAATCGGAGATACGAGATATGATTGAGAATGTTAGACATTTGTAGAGCTGTCTAAATAAATTCTGGTTTTGAGCAGCACCGCATGGATGGGATTGGTGTATTGTGTGAAAAAGTTGCTACTGAAAACACTGAAAAAATAACACTGCAAAGAGACAACTTGGACCAGGAATTGCACACAATGCACATCACCCCAATCTATGCAGTGCTGTTCAATGCCAGGAATTATTTTGACAGCTGTACATGTTTTGTTAAAATAGGACAAAAGCTGAAACTGAAGACACTGTGTAAATAAATTATGTGCCCGGTTGTACGTGCGTTCTCTACGAGCCCTGCGTGAGAAGGGTGCTTAGCGGTGGTGTTTACATTGTGCTTTCACCCTTCGAGTCATTTTTGGCAAAACATATTTTCACGTTTACAGATTAGCATGGTTGGCTGCATACGGTGCGAAAGAAGTGCAGCATAACACATACATACATACATGAACCTTGTTATCACAGTGCATTTAGTGGAAGATTCGTTCAAAGTAAATTCAATTTTAAAGCCGTGTAAACTGAATTAAACTAAACTTTTATTTTACAATGTATGGCCCACTGAGATATGTTGCTCTTTTTCAGAAGCGGCCTGGCCACAAATGATAGCTCAACAAAGTGGCTTGTCATCGTGTAGAAATGTATAGCAGTCAAATACTCTAAACGTATGTTAATTCTAAATATGGAGAAAAAAACCGGAGGACCCGGAGAAAAATCCAGTTTTCCCATAGGGTGCAATGAGTACCCTTGCGGCCATTGGTCCATCATTTATGTGAATATCCTCAGTGATTGTACCTTTTTGCTCAATTTTAGGTATTATTTCTTCATTACAAATGTGACAGCAATCCGTTGGGTGTTCTTTATTACCTGATTGTCGATCTTGGTAATGACGTTCATGAGTCCTTTTGAAGACGGAATTAAAACACTGTTGCGTCTATTCAAATATTCCGTTTTTGACAATAAGCGTACATTTATGTAAGTATATTATTAAATAAAAGCACCATCTTTATCAAATATTTATTATGACAAAAAATCTATTCCATGTCACATTTGTCACGGAAATGGTGAATTTGAAGTCCATGACGTTTAGAAACACATTTGATTGTGCATTTAGTTTCAGGTGGGGTATCACCCCACCTCATTTTCTTTTGTGATCTTGCCATCAATTTTAAGCCTTTCACACCCAGTGAACGACAGCCTTCCACCTCTGCATCACGACGGTAACTCAAATTGCACTGTACAGTGGTGATTTTTAAGCATTATTAAAATATACAAATTAAATTGTAAACATTTAGTTAAGTACTCTTTGGTCCTTTCGGTAAAGTCACGTGGGTATAAATAAAATAAATCACGATGTTTCAGGCGCAACACAAAAAGCATGGTCTTCCTCTGCAGTCTGCCTCAGCAGCAGACCATGTTTTTTTTGTGTTGCGCCCGAAACGTCGTGATTTATTTTATTTATACCTACGTGACTTTACCGAAAGAACCAAAGAGTATGGATTCCTGCAGTCACAAAAGCTTCAAATCAAGATATAGTTAAGTGTTTATTAAACATCCACGGTGTCAATGGCTAAGTGATAAGGTAATCATAATAAAGTACATTTTAAATTATTTAAATACTTTCTCAATGCTGAAAATGTTTTAACCAGAAAGGGTCTCTCGTCCTTTTATGCTGTTCAAATGTAAATATAATTTGCTGCGTTTATTTTTTTTTATTGAGTTTCATCTGTAAATGTGGCCATCTCGACATTTCGTCCCCATTAGGACTCCCGTCATGAATTTTCGCTGCTACCATGTGCCTCAGGACCTACCTTTATACTATGTAGACCCTTTTACCACTTGCGAACTGCAAGCACAAGCAAACCTGTTTGATTCCCTGGTCTCCAGACTCACCGAGAAAATGTATTCAGGAGAGTCCTGCAAAGTTGTTGCAGAAGTGGCCAATGTTGCTATGTCTAAACCCATTTGACTCATTTTTCAGCATTGGGATGTTTGGCCAATACCAATTGCATTGTATGTTATTTTAGTTATGGGAGGAAACCAGATAACCTGGAGGAAACCCGTGCAGAACAGGTGGGTAAACATACACACTCCACACGGAAAGGCACCCAAGTAAAAAATCAAATCCAGGCCATTATTAGGGGCCATCCATTTAGTACGTACGCAAAAATCTGTTAAAACCTGCCCCCCCCCCCTGTACGCACGCGTACTTTTTGACAACCCCCCCTCCCACCTGTGTACGTTCGCTTGACGCCCCCCCCCCTCGAATCCTATCGAACGGCCGATATTTAATTCACGCAGAAACGATCAAGGATTAATAATATTAACGTGTTTAAACAAACAGATAGTCCACCGCCGGCTGCATTATCGAGGCTTCACCCCCCCCCCCCCGTTTCCTATGCGTACGCACATTGTCAGTAACCCCCCCCCCCCATACGCAAGCGTTTGCATTTGGGTTAACCGCTACCCCCTCCATGCGTACGTACTAAATGGATGGCCCCTTACTGTGAGGCACAAGTGTGACCCACTGCGCCTCTATGCCGCCCACGTCGGTATGAGGAACTCCCCATGCCCTGCTTATCATGGGGGTTGTTTTACCATACTTCACCATGCTTTTTCCATGTAGATTGGTGAATGCAAGGACCATCGCCATGTGGCCTTAATAATAGAGTACAATGAAATTTGCACTGCCCTCTGCTGCTCACCACGTAGCCCGCAGCCTACAACAACCAGTGCACGATGGTTGCCCACCTAATCATCGAGACCCAAGCCTGCTTAGCTTCTAGAGATCTGATATTGGATGCATGCTGGGTGATTTGTTGAATGCATGAAGCTTACCAGTGAAGAGGTAGAGCAACAGAACGCCACTGAGAAGTTTCATGATGCTGCCCTGTGTCCTTGCTCAAGTGGTTAATGCAGCTTGTGAGTGCTAATTTATACGGAACAAAAATGGGTGGGGCCGAGCATGTCTCTCATATCTGCAATCTTTCGCAAAGTCATCTTTCCTTAGTGTTTTATGTACTAAACAGTTTTAGAAATGTCAGCTTTCAATCATGGTAACCCCTCCTGCATGCCATGCAAGTCAAATAATGTTATTCAACCAACGGCATTCTATTCTTACTCCCGGCAGTATGTTTAGGAGCAAAATGACAATGTCAAGGTATGCTAGCCATGAAATGGCTTCAGGAGAGAATGTGTGTTGTTTTGTTATTCCGTCGTTGAATGAGCATACATTACAATGGTTTACTATATGGTCCATTGTTTGTGTTGCGTGGCCACAGTCGCACTGTGAGTCTGTGAATCGTTCTTAACTCCATTTTTGAAGGAGATGTTCACATCAGCCTATTTATGCTCCAATACCATTGATAGTACACCAGCGTCTTCAAAGAATATCAAAGCCAGTAGATGTGATGTTTGGGTCTCAAATGAGGTGTTTATTCTGGACGTCCGCATTGCTCTACTCTGTTCGCCAGCGTTCTTCCAGAAATGATAGAAAAATAACAGAACGATCCCAGAAGGGTGATTGGTTGATGGGTAGGTGGTTGTCGGCATGAACACGTGTAAGCTTCTTTGCAGTTTGCATGTCTCTGCAAATTTTTGGTGGCAGAATGTTCGCCAGAACAGGGAGCCAATGTTGCGGTTATGATGCGCATTGCATTAATTAATTATGCACTTGCCAGTTTTGTGTAAGATCTCTCGGACCAGGATGGAGCACAATACTTTGCCACTGAGTAGATTAATGAGAGAGTGGCAGTTGGCAGCACATCAGCTGCGGCGCCCCAGATCATTCCTGCAAGTGTCTGAAGCAAGATGATCTTGATTTGATCTTTTCACGGATTTGTTATATGTGAGGCTTGAAGGTCAGGCTTCTGTGCATGATAACCCCTAGATATCTTGGTGTGGGGTCATCGCACACTGGACTATCGTAGAAAGACAAATCGATGTTGGCATCTGCTGTGTGATTGTTCAAGTGGAAAGTGCTTGTGGTTTTAGAATGCTTTGGTTAGTCTCCAACGATGGAAATACACTTCAAATGAAGCTAGATCAACTGTTAGAGCGCTGTATTTACCAGCGATGTTTGCCCTGAAGTACAGTTACTGAGCATTGTCAATGCAGTGTCACAAAAAAACTGTATAATGGTGCTATATTCTATCGGCATATTTACAAACTGCTCACATATTAGCATAATTGTTCAATGTGAATTTAAGAAATGTTTATAACCTTTCTCTGAAAAACGTTGGTATCTGAGACAATAACCACATGGGAAGCTGCAGTCGTGTAATGTATAGCACACTGGGGTTGCAATACAAAGGTTGCCATTGCATTTGGATCTCCAACTGCGGCAGATTAAATAATGGACAGGTTTATAAAATCCCCCGATCCACCCAGCAGTATAAATCGGTACACCGCAGGTAGTCAATCAGCAGGTTGTGTGGTGGGGTAAACTGTGGCTACTCCCACCTCTTGCATGTCTGACAAGCAGAGAGGCGTAGGAAAAATAACATTTAGAGCGCTCTCTCGAGCTCCCTCCAGTGGAGGCCCTTCCACCAGAAGCAGTGTGAGTGACAATTGCAAGCATACAACGTTACCACCTTTGCCTAATGTGGCATTTCGAGTGTGCAACACCAAGAACCATCTAGACACCCGAGAGAGAGCAGTACTTTGCAAAAGGTGCGCCGAGGCAAAGTCCCAGGTAGCCTGTGGTATTTTTAAATTGATCAACACAGACAATGAAATAAAAAAAATAACAGAGAGAAGAGCATCCCCCGAAGGTTCCAGAAGGAATACACTCCCTGCTGGACAAAAGAGGACCTGCTTCGACAGTTCAACCAGTTGGGCAGCCCACGGGTTGGAAAGGCTCTGCTAGAGTCGACTCAGCCAGAAGTTAGTGGTGGATTGAGTGTGTTGAAAGCCTGGACTTTACACACACCAGGAGCTGTGCCTGGGCCCTACTACGACATCTGGGTGCTACTAACCCACCAATACCGGATTGCGACAGTCCTGTCCAACTCTATAGCCTCCAAACTAGTGGAGAACACAAAACGACCGCTTAACAAAAACACCAAGAGAGATATCCGTAGTCAATTACACCAGATATTGGCCTCAATTTATCTACAAGAACCCACCGCCAGAGGAAGTGAGGGAGGATTTGACTGAAATGAAGAAAGGCAAGGCTGCTGGCAGAGATGGTAATTCCTCTATCACTTAGGCCCTAGGGGACTCCAATGGCTGACAAACCTGTAAAACCAAAACCATGAAAACCGGGTGCATTCCAAAAGCATGGCGGGAGGTGATAGTCATTGCAATACCCAAACCGGGCAAGCCAACTGACAAACTGGGAAGCTATCGGCCAATATCACTTCTGTGCATGAGCTATAAACTCCTGGAATGCATCATCATCCGGAGAATCAGCCACCTCGTCGAGGCAGTGATCCCTGAAGAAGCTGGATTCTGACCTGGACGCAGCTGCTGTGACCAAGTTTTGGCCCTTACAACACACATCAAGGCAGGATTCCATAAGAAATCCAATACTGGCGCAGCCTTTGTGGACTTTCTTCATCGACCTACGCCACAGTCTGGATTAAGGGCTTGATGTTAAAGCTCGCAAGGACCATTCCTTGCCTCAAAACAATACACCTGCTGTGGACGATGCTGAGCAATTGGCAACTGCATACTCTTTGGTTCTTTCGGTAAAGTCACATAGGTATAAAATAAAATCAATCACGTCGTTTCGGGTGCAACATAAGCGTCCGTCATCAGGTGGGAAAGCATGGTCTGATGCTGAGACAGACTGCATGTCTATATGGATGACAAAGCCAACTCACCCCAATTCTTCAACAATGGATTGCCATAAGGTTCAGTACTCGCACAAACGCTATTTAATTTCTACACGAGCGACATACCACCAACCAGGTTGTGAAAATGTGTATATGGTGATGACCTTGCCCTGGCAACGCAAACAGCCACTTTCAACGACATCGACACGACTAAACCAAGACCTAAAAACCATGGGGGAATATTTCCGTAAAAGGAGGCTCAAGCCAAATTCCCATAAGACAACAGTCACTGTATTTCATCTTGATAATAGGAGCACCAAGTACATTCTGAAATTACCTGCGGCAACACTGTGCGACACACCCCACTCCAACCTATCTCAGAGTGAAGCTGGACCATACACTAACCTTCCATGGCCACCTGAAAAAGGTAGCCGCCAGGACCAAAACAAGGGTCAACCTGGTCCAGAAACTGACAAGCACAGGCCAGGTAGCATCAGCACCAGTGCTACGGATATCAACGATGGCATTTGTGTACTCTGTAGCCGAATACTGTGCACCAGAAGTAATCACATTCGAATTGTTGATGTCCAAATGAACACTGCAATGCGGTATATCCCTGAAACTCTCAAGTTGACCCCAATACTCTGGCTGCTCGTGTTGTCACATCTCTCCCCCACCCATCCACCACAATGTTGCAACCCTCCAGGAAGTTCTACAAATCGAGGGAAACAGTCACGTTCTCATTCATCAGGACGTCAATAACGTCCCTTGTCATCGCTTGAAGTCACGCAAGCCCTTTTGGACCCAAGCGCTTAACCTTAAACAATGCGAATTCAACCCTGATGAAGCTTGGAGAGCTGAATGGAGTAGAAAAGAACTCACAAACACATTGGGAAAGACCCAACAGAAAAGTTCACAGGGTTTGATCTTCCATAAAGCCGCACAAACCATGGCAGATTTGGATACCTGATGCACAAATGGAAAATTTAAAACTCTCCAGTGTGCGACTATGGTCACCCAAAACAGACCATATAACATATAATAACACATGGCCCAATTCACAAATATGAAGGAGACATTATAGCGATACACTCTGCTACTCCTGACGTGGTTATCTGGCTTGACCACCTGAATGTGAATTTGTAGTTGTTACTCTGCATGTACATCAGCCATACGAAAGAGGAATATTAACATTAAACAATGAAATGGACTTATTGAAATTAAATAAAAGACAGATGCATATACAGTTAAATGAAACAACACACAAACGGTGAAAGTAAATAATGACCAAAGACAGATGCAATGCCTTGCTCTACGTACTACCCTTTACATGGTTGCCTTTAAGCAACCGTTTCTATGCAAAACCCTGTCAATGTATTGCTCTTGTACCTCTCTTTACATGCCTGCCTCTAAGCAAACTAAGTCTTTCATGCAAAACCCTGTCAATATTTTGCTCAATGCTTTAAACGCCTACCTTATGCAACCTAACTTCTGTATGCGAAACTGTGCCAATGTCTACTCAATTTTTAGGTCACTCAGCATCACTTATTTTATATGGTGGGCAAAACCATCCCTGTTTATAATTGTCTCGCCTTGGGACGTCACCTTAGCAACGAACGCCTTCTATTCACAAATCTTTCAAACATCATTTGGTTGAAGGTCACTATATATTCAACATATATATTCTACCAAAAACATTTTATATTCACCATGGCACATTTAACGCAGTTTGTGAATTATGCCACGGATTTCTCACATGGTGTAGGTCCTCCTGTACGCTAGTTGTAATTTGTAGACCTGGAGGGTGGGAGTATGGGGATGGCATCAGAAAGCGAGATGACTGCAGTTTCTATATTCCCTCTTTACCTCTGCATTAATGGACATATGGGGTCTCCAAGGGCTCTCATCCCAACTTCACCCACGTACCACTGCCCCGCGGGAGCTGCACACTGGAGAGCACCTCCAGCATGGAAATCTTCCCTGAGGTCTAGCCGCTGGTGACGGGCCACAGTCGGTAGCCCCACGTCCTGCTCCACCTCAAGGCAGCACAGGGGCATCGATCAGGTTGATGTATTAACACACCTTATGGTCAAAAAAGTTAACCAGGGACCTGCCCTGGGGGCATGAGTCCGACTTTTCTGCGAGTGACCGAGATGGGATGAGAAGAAAGTGATCAGTACCTGCAATAAATGTGCGGAA